TTCCATGGCTGGACCATTTCTAATAAAGACTAAATAGCTAATAAAAAATACTATAATTAAAAGTTAATTTTAAAACTTAAAATTCTAAATACTATATTAAAGCTATATATTTTAAATATAGCTTTTTAATATATAAACTAGTATTTACTTATAAACTTAAAGGTAAAAGTAATAGTAATAATAATAGCCTTTTTTTAAAAGGTTTTAATTTAAAATAATATTTAAAATAATAAAAGTATAAACTTTATTTTATTTTATATATATTAATTATATTTATTATTAATAACTTAGTAATTTAATAAGCTTTAGCTAATAATACTTTAAAAAATATTCTTAAAATATAGTATTTATAAGTATACTTATAAAAAGCAGTAATTATTATAAATAATTTAATAATAAAAGGTCTTTTAAAATTATTAATTATAAAAGACTTATTAGCCTTAAATATAATAATATTAATTAAAAAGTAAATAAAGCCTTTTAAATTTATATATAAGGCTTTACTATTTATTTTAATAAAGTATTTTAAAAAGCTTTTAAATATATTAAAAGCCTTTATATATAAAATAAAGTATAAAGTGCTTTTACTTAAAAACCTTATTTTAATAACCTAGCTTTAAGTAAATATTATAGCTTTATTAAATAAAATAAATAAGCCTTATATAAAATATATATAAAATAAAAAAAAAATAGTAAAAAAAAAAAAAAAGAGATTATATAAAAAAAAAGATTAATTAAAAAGATATAAAATAAATAAAACTAAAAATAATATTTTTAATATAATATTATAAAAAATATTACTTTACTTTAACTACTAGCTTAAGTAAATAAAGTAAATATAGCTAGTAAAATATATTTACCTTTTTAAATAAATTTATAAAGCCTTAAACCTTAACCTTAAAAAGCTTAAATTAAACTTTAAAAAAAAGAGCTTATTAATAAAGGAATTTATAATAATAGTATTATTAATATAAGTTAAAATATACTTTTTATTAGTTATATAAGCTGCTATAAATAATATAATAGTTTATATAAAGGTATTATTAACCTTTTTTTAAATCCTTAAAATAAGCTTATTTAAAATAAATAGGCCTATATACTTATATATTATAAATACTAAAGTTACTTTAATAAACTTAAAAAAAGTTTTATTAATAAGACTACCTTTATATAAGTAACCTTATACTTTAATTAAATATTTTATTATAAAGGTATTTTAGCTAGTTTATAAGTAAAGATTATTAATAGTATTTTTAAAAAATTATAAAATAAAAATAAAAAAGATAGTAAAAGCTATATAAAAGTTATAAGATTTTATAAAAAAAAATAAGATTATATTTACTTTTATAATTATAAACTTTATAATTACTATACCTATCTTATTAAAGCTACTTTTTATAAACTTTATTAATATTATAATAAAATTAAATAGTAAAATAAAAGTAAATAAAGGGATAAAAATAAATAAAAAAAAAATTAAAATATAAAAAATAATTTTTTATTAAATACTTTTAAGTATATCTTACTAGTATTAATATAGTACCCCTTAATTTATTAGAAATAAATTAATAAAGTAAAAATATATTATAACTTTTTAATTTTATAATATATTTAGCCTATACTTAAATATATTTTAAAAGTAGCTAATAATAGTATATTAATATTATAAAGTATAACTATTTTACTAATTATTTTAAAAAGGGAATTAATTTTTATATTATAAACTAAAATACTTAATTTACTAATTTTTACTTTTATAATTTATATATATAAAATAAAGTTTAAAGCCTTAATTAAGGACTAAATAAAAATAAATTTAAAAAGATATATAGTCTAGTATTAAAAATAGTTTATATTAAAGATAAAATATAAAAAATCCTTAAATTACTTAAAAGCTATAGTAAAAAATTATATAAAAAGAAAATAAAAAAATACTAACTATATAATAAACTTTATAAAAAAGCTAGTTAAAAAGGCCTACCTTAAACTTTAAGACTACTTATTAAGGCTTTTAGTAATTTTAAAATATATAATAAAAATAAAAAATATTAAAGTTAAAAAAAGCTACTAATTATAAAAAACCTAATATATGCCTTATATTTATATTAAAAATAAAGCTATTACCTTCTTAATTTATTATTTAATAAAGTTACTATATAAATATAAAGGCTTATTTAGTATTTATTAATTACTTATAATATAAGAAATAATTTATATTATAAAGATTACTTTTTAATATTTTATAAAGTCTTTTAATAACCCTTTAATATAATAAATTAATTAAACTACTTTTAAAAGAGTAAGGTTAATAAAGATTCTAAATATAAATATAAAGGAAGCTAAAGATTAAGTAAAAAATAAAAGATTAATATTTTATTTTAAAATCTTTATTTTATATTTAATAAAAGATATTTAAAAGCTATATTTTTTTTTTTTTTTTATATATAAAAGGAATAGCAGGAATAATAAGCTAAAAGCCTTTTTTAAAGGGGTTAGTTATATAACTATAAGGAAGGTTAATAAAAAGCTATATAAAGGCCCTAGGGATTTAGTCTCTTACTTTTATATATATACACTTACTAGCTAGTTAATTAATTAATTTTGTTTTATTAAGACCTCTTTTTTACTAAAGACCCCTGCATCTCCTTTATGTAAGCTTTATCTTTAAGCTGTTTGTATTATGACAAGCTCTCGTGGTCAGTCTACCACAGAGCGATGCAGCCACAGACCGTGAATTCGATCATCGTGCGCCTCACAAAAAGAAAGCTGGGAACCCATCACAAATCAGATCTTGTCACGCCACAGCACCCGCATACATACTCATACAATTTTTCGGCCACCTTCTTCAGGGCAGATTTATGACGATCTCGTCCTTGCTGGACGAGCAGCTCAAACTGGATAGTCGTGTGAAAATTTGTTCGGGCTGTATCCCGTCTATTTCATTTCAAGAAAGACCATTCAGTATAGGTAACCTGGTTGAAGCTGGATAGCTTCTTTCATGACCCATTCCTGTTCCGGCCTTGCCAGATGCGCCACTCTGGAGATTCGCCGGAAACGGCCATTTTGCCTCCCACTTAGGTGGTAGGTATTCGCCTACATGAAATGAACTTTTTTCAAGAATCAAGGGTTTTCTTAGGTAGTTCTGCCTCATGGTTGATAAGATGAGTAGAATGACGGGCATTCCGCTTGGTGTAAGATACCTAGTAGGTCGTCGAGATGAAGACTGCATTCAACTGTAAGTGCCTCGGTAGGTGCAGTGGTTCATCAGCCTGCTTCGCTCGACACCTGATACACACGTTAGTATATTGCTAGACTTGAGGTATTAAGAAATGTTCTTAACGGATTTGCTTCGAAGACGGGCAGTTGAGCAAGATACATGATCCTAGAGTCTGCCACCAAAGACACACAGGAAAGCAGCCGTATATCGTTGTGGTTTAGGAAGAGAATAACTCGTGTGCCCCCCTCTCATGATACACTGCAACCTGTGAGATTCATACCTTGCGCATCGCTGATATCACATTTTTGCATTGAGATTACCTGCCTACCAGTCCTTCGCGGGATATCTTTCACAGTCTCGCGCTCGTCTTCTGTGCAAGTTCATCCGGCCGCTACCCTGGAGACCATACCAGTTTGAAAACTTGACTTTAATCCATCCGATTTGCCAAATCATCTATAAATTGTTTCATGTATTCTCGCATTCTTTTCCCTCTCATGACATTTAGTAACCTTGATATTACGTAGATCTGGGCCAGTCGGACGAATTGTTGTTTCCTACGCGGCTACAGCATCGTTCCGAGGTCAACACCAATATCGTGTCATATCCAACTCTCACCACCTCAAGGTAGCATACACCTTTTTCGTCAGGTTAACAAGGCTCTACCAAATCCTGACACATGCATGCCAAACAGACAATCCCTCATAGAACTGCACCAACCACGTTTTTTTCACTACGCTGTGCTGTTTTGTACTATCAACCCTCCATAACCTGGTAATAGACAGACAGACATATGCCAAGGGGTTACATCTTTCCCTCACAAGGTGTGGTATCAGGACAAGACTTTGCGAGGCCAAACTTTGGTCTTGGATGTTTTATAAGGATGATGGAACGGTGGCATTCGATTATATGTGTTTGATTCGGGTCAACTCATATCGCCGAAATTCTCGTATCTTGAATGACCTCACTTTACCTTTCATCGTGAGGGATAGTCCATTGGCAGAGTTGTGTGTAGTTGCTATCTACATGTATCTGGATTGGCACACTAAGTACCTATGAATGGACAGTAACAAGGTCCAAGAATGTAGATTCGTCTGCAAGCAGTCATGTATCTGTTAGCGACAATGTAGTAAATAGCAAATCCTGATATATACAGACTCTTGCCGACCATCTTCCTACTACTATACCCATATGCCCACCGAAACCCTCACATTTGAAATAGAAAGATGGCAACTTAAGCTTCTTTTCCACGGAGCAAAAAAAAAACCCGGCACTGAATGACCTCCGCCCTCGACGATGAAAATTCGGCGAATGGCATCATCGCAGCCGATCGGAACGCAACCCCGGAATCCCCTCCCCGATCTGGCAGGTCGCTATTTAGCATTACTACAACCCAATCTCGACCGCCACGAAAGCCGCGCGCGCGCGCTCCAGCGTCGCTTTCTATAGTCTCTTTCCTCTTTGTTTCTGTTCTCTCACGCGGACAAAGATAATGCGGGTAAACTCCCTAAGCGAAAAGGGCCTTGTCCCAAGACAGCAAGAGGAGAGACGAGACTGGATTCGCATGCCGGGAGTCCGTGGAGAAAGCGCCCACCTTGCTAATAAGCTTAACGGGTTTCTTTGTTTAAGCTTGAACGCTTCTAGTGAATCTTCTTCTCTGTGGGCATATATTGTCCGAGGAGCGGGTTCTGAGGGGTTGTGCATAAAGGACCTAGGCCGGAGACAGAAGCTGGATAAGAGAGTGTAGAGGGAGCCGACTCGAGCCGCCGAGCAGCTCGGCATAGCTTATGCTAGTTCTATCAGGATTCAGGATCTCATAGAGCATTATGAGAGACAGCGAGGGGATCTGCTTGGTTGCAGGAAGCATGTGACGAACTTCTGTCTGTACGGATTCCATGGCGTGGAGATAGACGCCGTTACATCGCTCGCGGCTCTCCTTCACTACCCCCGGCTCGGCCAGTGAACGGCCTCCGTTCGTAGAGTGATCATCGTCGTTGATAAGACACCCGTCCGTCTTTTCGATTGGCAAATGCCGTGGGTGTATTCCGTCTTTGGTATTGCTGCTGCTACTCCTGCGAAGGCATTAGAAAAGTTGGCGTGACATTGGGCTTTTTGTGCGGACCACCAAGTAAGGGCCTTGGCAGCCCAAGTTCTCGTAATTGCAAAAGTTCTCAGAGGAGCTCTCGGTGTTGGGGAGGCAGAAACACCTTCCGTTTTGTTCAGTTTGTCTTGTATATTTTGCTTGCGTGATTTCGAAATGCCGGCGAGAGATTGTTATGGCCGCAGCCGCTGGCTTTGGTCGAGGTGAAGTTTCCACTCGAGCATCAAGAGTGTAGCATCCGGAGCTTGCACTCTGAAAGGGAAGCTCAAAGATTCGCATCTAGTGAGGCACTCCCTTGAGGCCTTCGAGATGTTGTCAAATACCCACCAGCATAAAAGGGCCTCATGGAGCCTCATGTTCAAGGAAGTTTAGACAGCAGGTTGAACAAGATCAATCACTGGATCTTCACTCTGGTGCCTCTTGAGCTTGTTTGCCCCCTGACTGCCCCTCAACCGTCAACGCCATGAAGTCCGCCATCCTCCTCGGCCTCACAGGCCTGGCTGCCAACGTGCACGCCCATCCCACCAAGCAGCATGATTCCGGCTCCAACCTCGTTAGGCGCGGCATCGACATCAGCAAGTACCACTTGCCCAGTCTCTCGGACTACACCCCCTCGACTCACGTCGATGTCGAGGACGAGGCGTCTCTTCAGTCTGTCGACCTCAAGCGTGACTACGTTGCCACTGCTACTCGGGCTGTCAAGAGACTTGCTCCTCACGCCAAGTTTCGTGTGGTAGATGACCACTATGTTGATGTCGACGGCATTGGCCACGTCCACTTCAAGCAGACTGTCCACGGCATCGACATTGATAATGCTGACTTTAAAGTCAACGTGAGTGAGAAGGGGACAACTGAAAGCCAAGTGAAATAGGGGCTCACACGTTTCTCTCCAGGTTGGCCGAAATGGTAGAGTCTTCTCTCACGGCAACAGCTTCTTCACCGGCAAGCTCCCCACCGAAAACCCCCTGACCAAGCGCGCCTTTTCCGAGCCCACCGAGGCTCTCAAGGGCGCTGTCGACATCCTGGGCCTCCCCGTCAAGGCCGACGGCGCCACTGCCGAGCCCACGGAGGGCACCGAGAAGTACGTCCTCAAGGGCACCTCGGGAGCTGTCAGCGACCCCGAGGCCCGGCTGGTGTACCTCGTCAAGGCCGACGGCACCCTCTCCCTGACGTGGCGCGTCGAGACCGACGTGGTCGACAACTGGCTGCTCACGTACGTCGACGCCGCGACCAACCAGGAGGTCCACGGCGTGGTCGACTACGTCGCCGACTTCGCCACCTATGAGGTCTACCCCTTTGGCGTCAACGACCCGTCCGAGGGCGACCGCAAGACCTTCACCGACCCCTGGCGCATCGATGCCTCGCCCTTCACCTGGCTCGGCGACGGCACGACAAACTACACCACCACCCGTGGCAACAACGCCATCGCCCAGGTCAACCCCACCGGCGGCAACGACTACCTCAACAACTACCGCCCCAGCAGCCCGTCCCGGACGTTCGAGTACCCCTTCTCGCTGACCCAGACCAACCCCGTCGACTACCGCGACTTCTCCGTCACCCAGCTCTTCTACACCGCCAACAAGTACCACGACCTGCTCTACCTGCTCGGCTTCACCGAGGCCGCGGGCAACTTCCAGGTCAACAACAACGGCAAGGGTGGCAAGGGCAACGACTTTGTCATCCTCAACGCCCAGGACGGCTCCGGCACCAACAATGCCAACTTTGCGACCCCGGCCGACGGCAGCAGCGGCCGCATGAGGATGTACATCTGGACCGTGTCGACTCCTCGCCGTGACGGATCCCTGGAGGAGGGCATTGTCATTCACGAGTTTACCCACGGATGTGAGTTTCTTGATCCATCTTTCTCCACCCCGTTCCTCAGCCCTTCAGAGCATCACCCCCCTTGATGCCACCCCCCTCCCCCTTCATCTCCCTCCCTTCTCTTCTCTCCGTGACTGACCCCTGAGAAACCTCAACAGTGTCCAACCGTCTCACCGGCGGCCCCGCCAACTCGGGCTGCCTGTCCGGCCTCGAGGCCGGCGGCATGGGCGAGGGCTGGGGCGACTTCTACGCCACGGCCATCCGCCTCAAGCCCTCCGACACCCACTCGACCAACTACCCGATGGGCGCCTGGGCAGACAACAACCCGGCCGGCATCCGCCAGTACCCGTACTCGACCAGCCTCACCACCAACCCGCTGACCTACAAGTCGGTCAACTCCCAGTCCGAGGTGCACTCCGCCGGAACCACCTGGGCCTCGATCCTCTACGAGGTCCTCTGGGCCCTCATCGACAAGCACGGCAAGAACGACGCCGAGTTCCCGACGTTTGACAGCCAGGGCGTGCCCACCGACGGCAAGTTCCTCGCCCTCAAGCTCGTCCTCAACGGGCTCGCCCTGCAGCCCTGCACGCCTACCTTTGTCTCTGCGCGTGATGCCATTATCGATGCCGATCGTGCGCTCACGGGCGGCGACAACGTGTGCGAGCTGTGGACCGCATTTGCGAAGCGTGGGCTGGGATCGGGTGCGAAATACTCGTCTTCTTCCCGCACGGAGAGCTTCACCGTTCCCTCGGGTGTCTGCTAGATGTCTTCTGCCTGGCGGGAAGCGGAGCATTGGATAAGTGAGGATTGGGGTTGAAGTGATGGTAGATGCGGGAAAACATGATATGACCTTCTCGGAGTTGGGTAATCAGTGGTGACGATTCGGCCTCTGTCCCCTTTGCACGCTGTAAGCAGATATGTAGTCCGCTACCATCCCAAACCAAAACAGTAAAATGATGTGAAAGAAAACACCAAGTTGTTTTGCGTCGCCGTTCCGTGATGTCAAAGAATCCAAGAATCCAGTCTAAATGTTCTTTTATTATCCTCTTAAATGCAGTTCTAAGTAAAAAAACGGAAATCATCACTTCGCCTCTGTATTTGACACAGCAGGCCTTACACTTCCTCCCGCAGACGCCGCCGCAGCTGATACTGCTGCTCTCTTCTTCTTCAGCTTCTCGATGAATCCCAGCACCTTGTCCTTGAAGGCAGCTCTGGGCACCTCGTTCGCGCCGACCATGCGCCTGACGAGAATGTTGTACAGGCCTCCAAATGCCAGCGCAATTGTTGTTGATGTAAAGATGATGACGTTGTACGGCATGCTAAAGTCGGGCGTGGGCAGATAGAGCAGCAAGCTGGTGGTGCGAATGTTCATGACCTTGGGCTCCAGCGTCGTAATGACAGCGGCAGCAACGTCGAAGCCGCGGTTCGCATCAGGGGGGTATTCCGTGTACCGGAGGATGGACTTTTCAAAGTCGTAGGTGAGGAAGACGGTGCAGTGAGGGGGGATGCTGACGAGGAGCTCGAGCTGCGTGCCGCGGGCGCGGTCGAGCGCAGGGCGGTAGTAGATCTCCTTGATGATGTCGGCAGACGATGTGTTGACGTTGGGTGATGACGCCGAGATGCGGGCAGAAAGAGTGTGTAGGTAAACGCGCATAAACCAGGGGAGAGATTCCATGTACACAAACTCAACCGGGTCGTCGCCTGGGTTCGTCAGGATGGCCTGCATGCCGCCGTGTTCCTGTCCGTGCCCGGTGAAGCTTCGCTCAGCGTAGAGCACAGGCGTTTCCGGCTTGACAATGCCCAGGGGGCGAGCCTCTCCATCAGCAGTGGACTCGGCATTTGTCAGGATGAGAGTAAATTCCTGGTCCTGATTGATCTGATAGCACCGCATCGAATCGTTGTCGGAATACTTGATTTCATGGGCACCTTCTGAAGCAAAGATGTCGCGAGTGGGTGGAATGTGAACACAGACTGGGGGTACTTCGGCATCAGTCAGAGGACAAGTGCCTTTCATGGTTCGCCCAAAGATTTGCGACAGCGTCCAGTCTTGGCCGCGGAGGTGGTCAACCGGATAGCAAGCATCGCCTGGCTGGTGATAGGGCTTTGTAGTGTCGCAAATCAGATCATGGCCTGGAGGAGGTCTTGGGATAGGGTTGTCTAGAAACAGTGTTAGTCATGGCATGCTTGGAGAGAACAGTGAGCACATACCATGAGGTCGCTTGGATCGATCAACGTCCAGGACCATGTCGACCGTCTGTTCAAGCTGCAAAACGCACTCTCCCTCCGAGGGACAGATGGGCCGCACGTCGATGGCCATGCTTTGGAACGACGCATCAAACAGCTTGTGTCCATCTAGCAAGCTCGCGATTCCAGCCTTGCCCTTACACGGCAGCATCTTCAAGAAAGGAGTCAAATTCTCCGTGCAAACCACCTCATGGGGTAGCACGCCATGCAACAGCCGCGTGCTCTGTAGTGTCGAGTTCGGATGGTCGCCCTCGGGCTGGAACGACAGAACAGGCCGAATCGTCCTCGTCCCGTCAATGAAGTTGAGACTGGCGCAGAAGAGGCCAGAGAGCGCATTGGTCAGCGTCAACCACTTCTCGTCCGCCTCCTCGTCCGTCTCAGCGTCCAGCCACGCCCATAATTCCACTCCGGTGCCGCCCTCCCTCGTTCCGTCCCAGGGCCGAGTTCCCCAGCTCTCTGCATCCCATCGTCCCAGCGTGAATCTCAGGTGAAGCTCTCGCGTGCCCGCATACTGTAGGATCTGGCCCAGCGACCGTGGGAAGAGTCGAAAGTTGTGCGCCTCAAAGTCGGCAAGGGACGTGTTGGCTCGGAAGTTGAAGCTCGCGAGGAGCGCGGACAAGGGCAGAGGCCGGAGGTTTAGCTGCTCATGGTAGTCGGCGGCAGAGACCAGGACGCTGGGGACGATTAATAGCAGTAACGACAACAGGCTGCGCATTGTGAAGAGCAAGTAAAAGGAGGGGAAAAGAGAGTGAGTGTCGCCGGCGCGATTCGGGCGAGGTTCACATCTCTGGTCGACAAGGCAGAGAGAGGTCGTGATATTGCCAGATTGGAGCTGGAAGAGGGCCCTTGTCATCCAGTACGTACCGATTACCAGCCACGGTTGCAGGCTGTAGCGCGCCACAGTCGACCGGGATTGGCAGCTCTTCCGCGACGTCCCTGCACTGGCCAGCGCCAGCTTTAGGCCTGGAAGGTCCCCCACAGCTGCACCTCTTTAGTGGATGCAAGGCACCAGCCACAGTTTCAATCCGTCATCTCTCATCTTCAACTCCAAAAAATTACATCCAACCCCAATCAGCATCACATCCATCCTCTCCTCGACCTTCCCTCATACAACAAACTACCCCCCCAAATCCGCAGCGCCATGGCCGCCGAACAGAGAAAGCTGCTCGAGCAGCTCATGGGCGCGTCGTCATCCTCCCGCGCCGCCCAGCTCTCGCTCAACGACCCCAAGGTCTGCCGCTCCTACATCGTCGGCACGTGTCCGCACGACCTCTTCACAAACACCAAGCAGGACATTGGGCCCTGCCCCAAGGTGCACGCCGAGGGCCTCAAGGCCGAGTACGAGGCGCTGTCGGAGCGCGAGAAGCACAAATACGGCTTCGAGTACGACTACATGCGCGACCTGCAAAAGTACATTGACGAGTGCAACCGGCGGATCGATGCGGCGCAGAGGAGGCTGGAGAAGACGCCCGACGAGATTCGGCAGACGAATGCATTGGTGAGCTATACTTGATTTTTGGAATGTTCCAACAGTAGGATCACTAGCTAACGTTTATCAAACGCAGCTCAAAACAATATCAGACCTCACGGCATCCATCAACAACGGCCTCCTCGAAGTCGAAATTCTCGGCTCCATGGGCGAAGTCTCCCGCGCCATGGACGAGCTCTTCCGCGTCCGCCAGGCCGGCCAGCAAAAGGCCGAGCGCGAAAAGGAGCTCAAGGCCCTCTCCGACACGTCCGGCCCCTCGGGCCACCAGAAGCTGCAGGTCTGCGACGTCTGCGGCGCCTACCTCAGCAGGCTCGACAACGACCGCCGGCTGGCGGACCACTTTTACGGAAAGATGCATCTGGGATACGCGCAGATGAGGAAGACGTATGACGCGTTCCCGAAGGAGATGAAGGGTCGGTCGAGGGCGCCGCTGGACGATGATGGTCCTGGTGGCGGGCCGAGGGGACCCAGGGGCCCTGGGGGGTATAGGAGTGGGAGAGGAAGGGGGCATCGCGGTGGGTGGTGAGGCGCGTTGGGGGCGCTTTGATTTTTGTTCGCATTGCATTGCAGCTCGGCGTCGGGGAACGTTATTTACATGTATGGTAATCAGGGCATCTTTGTGTGTGTGTTGTTTCTTACCAATTTCTTTGGACCAGAAAAAGGACGTATATAGGATTCGGAAAACGGAGTTGTATACCCCCCTTGCACTCTTCTCAAGCTACTCATCATGGGTGCAATCGAGGGGCGGTATAGAGACGCTTCTAGAGGTATATTACGCTGCGAGTAGCAAAGACTCGTGAGACTAACCTGGACTAATCGTAACAATAACCAACAAGCCTCGTGATATCTCTTGGTCCGAAAACAAACACATCCTTTCGTCTTTTGTTGCATATCCCCATTTTTCCAAACCTGTCATATCGTCGTATACCCAACTCTCCATCAATAGCACAAGTCATATCCAAGCAATTCGAGCCAAAACTTTGACAAGCCACCAGACAGAAATCCAAACCAATTGCCCCCCTTTTCCTTACCACTTGCATTTTCATTCCCACCTGAAGCCTCGTGTTCACACTATGACTTGGCTTCGGCCTTGCCCTGAGCCTGAGCCTGGTTCAAAGCGTCGAGGGCTTCCATCTCATCGTCCCACTTGCCGCCAGTCACGACGAGAGGTAAAGGCAGGGGAGGAGGAGCTGCCGCTGCCGCTGCCGCTGCCTGTGCCATGGTTGGCTTAGCTTGGGCGGAGGCTGCCGCTGCTTGTGCCATGGTAGGCTTTGCCTGGGCGTTGTTGTTTTGCTCGGAAGCTGTCTTCGCTGGTGTATTATCAGAGGGCAGAGAAGGGAAGTCATCGGCAGCAGGGACTTGCTGTTTCGCCGGGCGGGACTCGCCGACTGGGCCGTCGTATGAGCCGCGACCCCGGCCTCGACCTCTGCCGTTGCCGTTAGCGCTGCCGTTTCCGCCTCTGCCACGATCTCCACGCCCTCTGCCACGGTGCCGATCATCCAGGAAGCGGTCGACATCTTGTGCCTCGGCGAATCGGCTTCCGCCCAGGCCACCACGGCTCTTGGCCCCTCTGATGCCTCCGTTTGCACCGCGGAAGCCTCGCCTAGCCTCTTCTTCAGCCAGCGCCTCCTTGCCTTCGTCCCAGCTGCCATCCTTAATGTGCATGGCCTTGAGCTTGCGCTCCCTATTCTTCGCTCGCTCGTCCTCCAGCTTGCGCCTCTCCTCTTCGCCACGCTTTCGCCGCTCTGCTTCCTCAGCTCTTCTCTTGCGCGCCTCCTCCATGCCTCGTGCGTATGCCTCGGCGTGCTGCTTCTCGTCCTGCTCCGCCATCTCAAACTTGCGCGCCTTCTCCGCTGACAAGAGCTTCATCTTCTCCATCTTGGCGGCGAGCTCGTCCTCTGTGAGCTTGTGGCGCGGGTTGGAGCCAGACTTAGCGCGCACCTCGGCGTTCGCAGCGGTGTTTTGTGATGGTGATGAGCGGCGAGGCTTGTCTCTGGGGCCAGTTCCCGCGTTGGAGGGAGGACCGGAGGGTTGCGAAGGCCCCTCCTCGGTAGCCTGGCCGGCAGACTCATTGGCAGCCGGTGCAGGAGCTGATTTCGACGTCTGGGTAGCCGCCTTTGCGGGGGCGGGAGCAGACGCTGGCTTCTGCGTAGGCGCCGACTTCTGCGCAGGCGCTGACTTTGGAGCAGGCTTGTCGGCAAAGCGGGAGGACGAAAGACCTCCGGCAGGGCGCAGCGGCTTCTTGTTCTTGGCGGCTGGTGCGGGCGACGCTTTCGAGGACGGAGGAGTTTGGCTCTGCTGAGGTGCTGCTGTTGCCACAGGCTGTGGCGAGGGTTGCTGCGCAGGAGCCGGAGCAGCAGCAGCAGGAGCAGCAGCTGGTACTGAAGCTGGCGCAGGCGAAGCAACAGGATCGGGCTGGTAGTAGTGCTGCGGTTCCTGTATCAGGACAGGCTCGGACTCGACGGGCTCGAAGTCGTCGTAGAATAGGTCGTCGTCTGTGCGGCCTCCGAACTGGTCCTCCATTGTGTCGTGTTATTTATTATAGTCGGTAGATGATGATGTAGCAAGATTGTAGGTATGTATAGCCAAAAAGCGAGCGAATTTCAGCAAAATATTGATGATGATGGCAGAAGCAATATCTGAGCAAGGTGGTATAGCGAGAGAGAAAGAGATAGAGAGAGAGAGATGGGACAGACAAAAGAGGCCACAAACAAGGCTGAGGTCAGGGCCTCTATTTATCAGGGCGACAAATGGACCAGATGCGACAGAAGGCGCTTAAAGCCAAAAAGTCAAAAGCCGATCCCTCTTGCTCTTGCTTCGCACTTGCCCCAAAAACCCCCGCCACAGGAGCGCATGTGGGGTGTGGGGCTGCTGCCGGCCGCTCCTGCAGCTCTAACAGAGGAACCGGTGGCACAGTGAGGCTGCTGTGGCGCAGTGGCTTGCCATGGCAACGAGCTGCAATTTGGCGAGACTTGGATAAAGTGAATGACTGTCGTGATGAGGTGCAATTTGATTAATTGAACAAGAATCCTGAATATTTCTCTATTAGAGCTGAGTTGATGTTGTACTCGAGCGAAACTGATCTGTCTGTCGTTCATGCGGGAGCGCTGCAGTTTCAACGACCAAAGGATGCTGCCTACCCTAACCAAACTCGCGATGGCTTCACTTTATCTTTGAGGCTGGCAAGACTAACGAAAGTAAACCTTTTCATTACAAAGTATTCATGAGAGGCTAGTTGAGTCATATTCTAGTCAGACTCTACTTTTTCTGGCGTTCGTGGCCCTGTTGATCAACACCACAAACGTTGTTCCGCCAGAGTCCAGACTACGGCTCAAACATCCGTGCGGGAGTTAACAACTTTTGACTGTAGCAAAACTGTTCAGAAAGAGCACAATGACGAGTTTCTGGTAGAGCTCACTGCGACATATACAGTGTCAAGCAAAATATCAAGCAAAATATCTAACATATGAACGTGCCCGAATCATGCCCTCTAGCCTCGATATCAAAGCACAGTAAAGGTCAAACATCAACCTGCAGTTGGTTCAATCTCTCTATGACAGCATCCCTCAAGTCATCCTCCGAGTACACAAGCCTCGCCCCGTACCGCCGACAAACTGCCTCTACGTTCCCTCTCTTCGAATACCCCTCCAGAGAGCACACAATCGCCCTCCCAGACCGAACACAGAGGCCCAGCTCCAGCAGACTGATCGGTGCAGGACTGACTCCGTGGAAGAAGACGACAACAACATCCGCCTTGTCCTGCATCTCAAGCTCCCACTGCACTTGCTCCGCCCATCGGTCGTCTGAAAAGTCTTCTCTCCATGTAGAGTCCCAGTCATCTCGCTTGGGGTTGTATATCGTAATGGGGAGATTCAAAAGTGCCCTTGTCAGCGTCTGTCTCCAGTCAGGTTCGCCTGTAGGACTGGTTGTTCCCGCGAGGAAAATGGCTTTGCGAGAGATTAAGTCTGGCGCTGGGCGGCCTGGTGCGAGGACCACGGATGCACTCATGGCTGCTACGGTCTTATTGATGGTTGTCAAGTAAAAATCGATAACATCGTGTTTGGAGGAGCAAGAAGAGGAGATGGGCGTGCATGACTGCTGAATAGTGACTGAGGGGCGGGGTGGGTGTATCATACATGTACCGTTTTGCCAAGGTGCAAGTCTGGTGATAACGCCCCTGCTCTTCGATTCTGCTCTTGAATTTCACAACTGACGCCGTGAGTTTCTCTAAGAGAAAATTACGACTACCATGTCACATTTGAACAATATATACCATCAAGAGAGTATTTCGTAGAATTCCGTAGTTGTTATGGACGAGTGTACGGGGTGTCATCCGTACAATCTCTGCACCCTCCCCTGAACACCCAAACCCTCACTATCACGGCGTTCAATACCGTTCAGTCTGGCTTCTCAGATCAGTACAAACACTTCTGGCTATTGTCCGTATACTACTATTGTATTGTTCCTCCGTTTGTACTGGTGCAGACTCTTCAGGAAAGCCCTAGAACATTTGAAAACGCTCGCTTCCAAACGCACCAACCCACTCTGACGACTGCCAGACGCGTGCAGTCCTGCCAGTCGACTCACCAGCTGCTCACTTTTGAAAACTATTTGTTGTGCTGCAAAAATTATTCTGGTCCACACCTTTTCTTCCTTCTCTTCCATCTGTGGTGTTCCAACTTTTCACAGCTGTGCCCACTTCAGATTCCTTCCAGCTTCTTTTTTAGAGAAGCTTTCTTTGCACACTTACCCTTCTTACTGTTTCTTGATCCTTCCACCTGCAAGATGGCCGACCAAGCAGACAAGAAGAAGGTCGACAAGGGCAAGCAGCCCGCCACTATGCCGCCAGCGGAGACGGACGTCACCGAGACGAACGTCACCGAGGCAGACGTCACCGAGGCAGACGTCACCGAGGCAGACGTCACCGAGGCAGACGCCGAGAACTTGGCTGTGGACCACCAAGACCAGCAGAACCCTGACCAGGAGACTGCCGCTGGCGAGGTGTCTGTTACCGAGACTGCCGCTGGCGAGCCTACCGAGGAGGCGGCTTCCTCCTCCGAGGGAGCTACTACTGCTCAAGAAGCCTCCGCAGGCCAACAAGCTCAACTGCTGAAGCCATGGGAGCAGCGTGCTCTTCGTAACGGCAGAACGCCGCTCCCCGACTCCCGCCCTCCCATCGCCGGAGAGTCCTCGGCCTCGGGCAGCCAGGCGCAGGTAAGTAGAGCAGAGCCCTGATGATTGATTACCTACGGTGGCAACGAGACACTGACCTTCTTACAGCCGACTCGTCGCGCCCCTCGTCCTCGCTGGCGTATCGCCGACATCCGCCACGTCATTGAACTGGCCCGCGGCGGCATGGCGTACGCCGACATACGGGTATGACTATTGGTCTCATCTCATCTCACCTCATCTGAGAGAGCTTGTTATTTCAGTTTGACTAACAAATGTTGGGTTGTAGGCGAGATATTACCCTGAGCGCACCATTGTCGCTGTTAGCCAGGTCTACTAGAAGTACCACGGGCGTAACCTGGGCGGACATGGGGACGATCATGAAGTTGAGGTCGAGGAGGGAGATGAGGCCGACGAGGCCGATGGAGACGACGAGGATGAAGATGAGACTGAGACTGAAGACGACGAGGACAGCGAGGATGAGAACGCTGATGAGGAAGTGGCCCTCAACTAAATGCGGTCCAACGCCTATTCTGACCAGAAGCAATCGCACGGGCATGATTTTTTTCTAGTCTTCGTTTATCAGGAATCAAGGGACAAATGGGTTTACGGCAAGGTTATCAATTGAGGTAGTTTCATAATCAATCTGCCTACGCAGGCAGACTCTTCGCCTCAAGCCCAGTCTGCGTCCTCGTCCACCGCGGGTATCTTGACCAATGCATCCAACACGCGTATCCTGCCTGTCTCGACGAGGTACTGAAACCAGCTCAGCCCCTCTTGTATCAACCCATGATCTTCGTACCTGTCTGCCCACAACTGACAATCTTTTCGAATACGCTCTCCGTCCTCAAGCCCCCTCGGGGGTGTCTTTGGCTCCCATGTGAAGCCTGCCTCTGTTGTCAACTTTCTGACAAGTTCTATGCATCGTGGACACGGGGCTGGAAGCTCGACGTCGACTTCAAAGTATTTGTATGACGAGTAGCGACAGGCTGTGAAGCTGGCTAGTGTGATGGCTGAGATGGCGTAGGCACCAGATGTGGGATGGGATGCAGCAAGAGTCAGGATTGCCTCCAGGTATTCGTGAAAGGGGTCGCTGAGTCCAAGCCCATATGCCACGCAGAAGCCGTTTTCGTGATTTCCTGCTGCGAGGTCGCTCCTCCAGTCGAACATGTCGTGGACGGCCATGATGATCTGTGGCGAAACGAGGCCATCCTCGAGAGAGTCATTCGCGAGAACATGTCCGTTATACGCAGTAGCAGCACCATTGATTGCTCTCCAAGCCATGGCAGCCTGGAGAGAAACTGAACTGCTTGATCCAACATCTTGTAGTGCAGTGCCATCGATCAGGACATTGACTGCTTCGCCACCAAACTCGAGCGCAGCACCGATTCCAAGGGCGACCAATCGCACTCGCACCTCTGTTTCTGTCTTGGTAAAGCTCCAGTAGTCGTCACACACTGACAAGTGGCATATAGCCGAGTACTTGAGCGCTTCTTCGGGAGACAGCCATGCTGATGATATCAAAGAGCAGGAGAGAAAAGCACACTCGTAGGCGCCAACTGCGAGAGGGCTGCTGGAGGGATGATGCGAGATGCTGGGCTTTGACAGGGGGAAATGCTCGCGGAAGCTGGTCTTCTTGTTGACGTGTGACACGGCAAGTCGCTTTCCATTGTAGTGGTCGTCTATGAGCCGCTGGCAGCCTTGGAGGGCTGTTGATATCACGGCTGGGCCGAACCGCGTCTTGAGCTCGCGGTGGATGGACGAGCATGACCTTGCCCAGGTAGCCTTTGAGCGCTGGACAGAGTCTGTGGGATCTTGGATCACGGCACGGGCATATGCCACGGCATCAGACCAGCTTTGATTTCGTGAGATGGGACCATAGCCCAGAAGGGCGGAGAGGCCGTTGCGCATCTGGCTGACGTAGGCACGGACTGCTCTCTCGCTTGGAAGAAGGGGTTTCTCATCTCCGCTGGGAATAGGCATCCAGCTTCCCGAGTCGAGTTCATCGAGAAGCTGGTTGATGACGGCCTGGGAGTTGGCATCTAGCTGGTTGTTGTTGGTGGAGGGAGGGAGGAATGGGTGCTTCAAGTCCTGAGACTCTGACGAAGAAGATTCCTCAGCCAGTTTGAGACGGGCAAGCTGGCGCTGGCGCTGGCGCAGACGCCGACGTCGAGAGGGGAGGGAGAAGTGTGCGCCCATTTTGTCGTCAGAGTTGAGATGCTTCTGGATTGATTGCTGAGACTTGATTCTGAGTGATTCACTTCTGTCTGTTGTACATCAAAACAGAGGTCTGGCGTTGACTTTTATATATGAAGAGGGCTCGTATGCCATGGCCTTGGGCTTCATGAGGCATCGACCTCTCATCTTTTCCCGCTCTTACAATACATGTATCCATACGTGGACGTGCGGGTAAGCTGCAAGGGCGAGTGGCCCAGTTCAACCTACCTATTCCAGCCCAGAGATATCACGATCGAAGCGTCATTGGTTCTTAATTCCCGAGAATCATGAGTCACAACAATGCTATGCGATCTCTAAGAAGCCAGTACCCAAGCGCTTAACTGGTACCTGCTTGGGCTGCATGATCAACAGAGCAGTCCAATCAAGGTCGAGGTTCCAAAGGGAGTGTGTGCTCGAATCGGAACCCAAGGCATGGACTAGATGGATGTCAATGCACTGCGGCTGATGGGAAGGGGGGCCTGCAAGGGAGAAGGGAAACTATCACGGCAAGTCTGCTCAGGTGGACACGCAAAAAAGGAGCGGTGTTCACTCGGATGCGCCGAGTACCTGGATTGTGGGGGTTTTCAAGGGAGTGAGTGATAGCTGCCCGACCGGTGAAGAAGCTGAAGAGGATTTGGTCTTGAAAAAATCTTTTATACGAAGCGAGGACACGGGACAGGCCGGGGTTGGAACGTACGTATGCGCATGTAAGGTTGCGTGTCAGCACGGCTGAGGCGTACACGTAGACAACATGAAGTCAACATAATCTCGACCGTCATCAAGGCACTTTCACATGTCTGGCATCTATTCTCTCTCCCCCCCTGCTCCTAGCTATTCCATTGGCAAGGGCTATCCTTCAATAAATTACAAGATATCGTGAATGACAACGTTGAATCGATGGCATGGGTAAACGGCTACAATGACAGACAGACGTCATCTGCAGGGGTTGGATGCAGGGACAAGGGTCCCAGAGCAGCGGAACAAGCGAGTTTCGATTATCGAATAGAATCCCAAAGCAGCACACTAAGGGTGATTCGAAAAACATATCACCCAGTGATTGCATGAGCATTGGCGGCAGCGTGTGCTCAAGGGCATCGCGAACACCCACAGACTTCAGAAATCAACAAAGTGATTCGTTCAATATTCCAGCATGGCACGTCATTTTCGGGCACGTGCAAAGAAAAAAGCCTCTTCACGTATACTCCCAGGCGCCAAAGGAACTCCCCGCTTCCTGAATGACGATGCCGTTAACAGAAAGACATCCAAGCCCGTTGAACTGCCCAGTCGAGGCTTTGAGCACCGCCTGGTAAGCTATCGGTGCCCCAGGAGCAACGGCACACACCCACAACCCAGACGTCCCGTCTTTAGTAGACCGCCAGTTGAGCACATCCACTGACTCGCTGTGATCAGATGATGCAAGAAGTGAGTAGAAGCCGCCGACTTGTGCGCCGGGAGGACGGAGTGTCGAGTGAGCATTGGGGTAGCTGATGGAGCCGTCTGGGGCAATGTAGATGAACTGCCCACCGGGGACCGCAGACTGGGCACATATGCACATCATAGGTCAGTGTCTTGTCCTTCCCGCTGTGTTGAGAGGAACTTTGGCTGGTTCAAAGGGTCAAAAGAAGGATTGAACTCACGGCAAGAAATGACATGTCGCGTGTGACGAGGGTCACGTTGCCAGTTGGGCACTGAGCAGCATCGTCGAGGCCACAGCGGGTGCTCGGAGTTGGAGCTCCCGCGATGAAGGATTTGTCCCGAGCGTTGACGAGTTTGCCGTGAAGCATGGGATTCTTGGGTGCATGAAGGGCGATTGTGAAGTAGTTGTCGGCGATGACGAGGGTTGCAAGGCCCAAGAGGCCAATGGCAAAGTAGTGGGCACGCATCCTCATGTCCAATCTTGAAGCGTTGAATCTTGCAAATAGCAAACTCATGTAGAGTTGCTTGTAGCCGTACTTCTTTTGATCTTCTCTTCTAGAATCGAAGTCGAGCCCCTTATATGGTGTTTGACTCTGATCGTTGGTGGGATGCTTCCTTCTTGTTGGATCTAGAAGAAGAAGCTTGGACCGCCTCTCAGTGCCCCAACCCTTGGCCTATGGTTGCCTCGATGACATGACTTGTCGACTGCTTGTCCTCTATTCGATCGGCGAGTTCTGCAACACAAGACTAGTTTCGCGTCACTGGAAGCTGTGACACTCTGTCAGCACGATGACTTTGTGTAGGAATGTTTGAAGGAGAAACAGCAGGTGAACAGAAGAAACCTAGTCCAACGTACCCGAACGGCTATTGTTGCCTCGTTGATAGTTCTTCAATGATTGAGTAGAAGTTTCCTGTAGTCTCGATAAAGGGTAGCCGTGTATGAACCAACTGGGTTGAAATTCTGACGTGATCCAGCGTTGTGTTCGGGTCAAGACAAATATCGATGAAAGCGTCGGCAATCATCTCAGGCATCCTCTGCAGTTCAGAGATGGTGGCAGATCGGATGTGCGATGCGCACGAAGTCGCATGTGAATGGGACGTGCATGTAACAGGACACAGCGTTGGTTTCGTCTCTGTTCAGCTGTGCCTGCATCTGCCCCTTGCGTTGAGCCATACTTTGTTCTGCCATTGGGTACCGAGCTGAACTCCAGCAGTCTAGATTGAAGATGGTGAACAAAGCCGCAGACAAGCCTATGTTATTCTTCAGACCTCTGGTTCCATCTCATGACACTTCAGATGAATTTGAAGGTAAGAAGCACCAGTATGATCACGAGAATGTTCAGATAGATGCACCAGGAATGTGAACAAAGCTGCTCTGTCGACCAGTCGAGGATAAATACTCCCTCGCACGGAGCCTCATCTGATCTGCCTCTGCGTAACTCATCATTCAATCAAATAACCACAAAAGACCATTTTTGCGACTTGTACGACGACATACGATATCCGAGCTCTCCTGGTGTAGGGAGAGAGACGAATTCGAAGAGATGGAGAAAACCGAGCAGGCCACAGAGTGTCTCAAGTGCGACGAAATTGAGACAAGGGAGGAGAAAAAGAAAAAGGCGGTTCAGGTGATTGGTAAGTCAAGTTGAAACCTGTGCATCACGTTCCAGACTGGCCATCACGAGCGATGCTGGTGAGAGTGACATGGAGTGGCGAGGAGAGACACTGTGTTGGACAGTGCAAGAGGTATTAGTATGTGCGAGGTCGAGTTGTGAGATGAGGATACCTCCAGTCAGACACTGTGCTGCAGCCTCGCCCCCTTTCGACAAGGCTCCAAACTGCTGCAGCACGACTTCCAGAAGGACCGCGGAAACGCAATGACAGGAGAAGAAGAGGGATCGAAACCCACGAGATCGAGATAGAAGCTGGAGATGACCGGCTGAGAACCAACCGCTGCTCGACCCCTGACATGGATGGTTCAGGTTCAGGTTCAGCTCCAGCCTCCCGGCTCCAGGGGTCTCAGCACCTGTAAGCTCGGTGAGATGGCGCCGATACCGCGCTAAGCACGTCATTGTCAGAGTCATTGGCCTCACTTCAGCAACAATAGCAGAGACACTTTTTTCGTCTACGGCAACGACCATCTTGCGATCCTCGCGCGCTTCCTCTTCCCTCCTCTGCTTCCTTGTCATCTGAGCATCACCCGACACTGAACATCAGATGGCGTCTTGACTCAGTTCTGCCATCCGTTGGAATCCTCCCTCTCTCGCCTTGTCCTGTCCTCGTCCCTCCCATGCTATGATTTGCACCAGCCACTCGCGTGCCCCGCCAGCATTGCCGATTCCAGCTCCGGCCTCCAGTCCTCCACGAACTTCAGATCTTTTCTTCTAACCTCTAACGAATAATACAGCCGCGATGCCCTCCATCATGGCCGACTCGGCAGCCATGGCGGTCCTGCCGACCCTCGAGGCGTCCGACTGCGCAGAGTCCCAGCCAGAGCTGCTTCACAGCCTCAAGCACAGCAGCAGTGTCCTCGCCCTCGCCGTCAGCCCCCAGCACGACTCCATCTACGCCGGAACCCAGGATGGCGAGATTGTCGTCTGGTCGCTGTCCACCTTCCACCAGGTCCAGCAGGTCCAGGCGCACAAGCGGAGCGTCATGTCGCTCTCGCTGTCCCCCGACGGCAGATACCTCTTCTCCAGCGCCTGCGACCCCATCATCAACGTCTGGTGCCCTCGGACCATGGTCCGCCTCTTTGAGATCTACGGCAACCACGACGTCGGCGACATCTTCTCGACCGCTTACAGCGAGCAACACGACACGCTGTACATTGGCGCGCAGAACATGACGATTCAGTGGGTGACGCTGAGTGATCCGACCATCAAATCGACGCCCGACTCTCAGCGGCATCCCGACCGACGAAGCCATCGGTTCTTCGACTCCAAGGCCGTGGGCGGAACGAGCACGCCGAGGCGAAGCGAAGACAAATGGGGGCTGATTCCGCGAGCCGAGACCGTGCTTGAGATTGACAGCGGCTCGGTTCGCAAGTTTGCCCACTACGGATACGTCTACTGCATGCTCATTGCAAAGGGGCCTACCGTCGAGGTGAACCCAGATGACGAGGTGCTGATCTCGGGCGGAGGCGACGGTACGATCAAGCTTTGGTCCCTCGACAAGCCCGGCAGAAGCGATTCGAGCAACCCCCAGCACAACGGTCTGCGAGAGATTATGTGTCTTGGCACAGACGATGCCGAATCGGTGCTGTCTCTGGCGCTGGATGGCTCCTTTCTGTATGCCGGCAAGCTGGGCGGCATTGTCGAGCTCTGGGACCTGGACACTGCTCAGAGATTGAGGGTTATCAAGGCTCAGAACCACGACATTATGTCTCTCCAGATGGGCTGGGGATATCTTTGGACCACCTCTGCCGATGGATGGGCTAGTGTAAGTTTTTCTCCTTCTAGAAGAGACTCTCTCCCCTCTTCTCAATGACAATGACTGACATATGCCATACAGAAATTCAGCACAGCACACTATGGAAAATACCAGCACGTCTCGAGGAATGTGGCTCAGAAATACCAGTGCCTCAACAAGTGGAAGGCGCACAGTGGCAAAGAAAAGACCAAGATACTGGCATCGGCTTGCTCAACATACAAGAACGAGCGATACTACATCACGGGCGCCAACGACAACGACATTTGTGTATGGAACATCAAGGACGAAGCAGAATCCACGGCAGACTCCAAAAGTCCAACCGAGGACGATGTCCTTCTCTCTGCGCTCAACGAGTTCGTCTCATACAAGACCGTCTCATCCCGGCCCGAGTTTGCAGAAGACTGCCGCAAAGGAGCCACATATCTTGGTGCACTGTTTAAGCGCATGGGCGGATATGTCGAGATGCTCAGCACGGGCGACTCGCACAACCCCGTCGTGTTGGCCAAGTTTTCCGGGAAGAAGGAGTCTGCCGACACTCGAAAGCGAATCCTCTTCTACGGACACTACGACGTGGTGCCCGCCGACAACGAAAAGAGCAAATGGGCGGCTGATCCGTTTACCGTCCGTGGAACAAACGGCTTCCTCTACGGACGAGGCGTCAGCGACAACAAGGGCCCCATCCTCGCTGCCTTGTTCGCGGTGACGGACCTGATGCAGGCGCAGAAGCTCGAAAACGACGTCATCTTCCTGATTGAGGGTGAGGAAGAGTCCGGATCCAGGGGCTTTGAGCAGGCAGTCCAGCGAAACAAGGAACGCATTGGCTCAGTGGACTATATCCTGCTGGCCAACAGCTACTGGTTGGACGATGAGGTTCCGTGCCTGACCTATGGGCTGCGTGGCGTCCTGCACGCCACCGTCTGCGTTGACTCGTCCCGCCCTGACACGCACTCTGGCGTGGACGGCTCATACATCAACGACGAGCCCCTCTCGGACCTGACCACGGTGCTGTCCAGGCTCAAGGGCCGTGGCAATCGAGTGACGATCCCAGGCTTCTACGACGGTATCCCACCAGTGACGCCGGAGGAAGAGGCTCGCTACGATGACATTGCGTCTATCCTGGTGCGCCGCAGCCCAGAGGCTGCCTCCGAGGCAGAGATCAAGAAGTCGCTGCTGGCGAGGTGGCGGGAGCCCAACCTGACGATTCACCGGTACAACGTCTCGGGACCAGACGGCAGCCTGGTGAGCAGCCACGCCAGCGCGCACCTCAGCATGCGTCTGGTGCCAGGACAGGAGGTGAATGTGGTGGCGATGGCGCTGACTCTCTTCCTGCAACGAGAGTTTGAGAGCCTCGGCTCGGAGAACAAGCTCAAGATCCGCATCGACAACAAGGCCGAGCCGTGGCTGGGCGACCCGACAAACTACATCTTCCGCACCTTGTGCACTGCCGTCGTGGAGGCTTGGCCTGAACGCTTTGAGACGAGCTCCGGAGCCGCTCAGGACGCGTGCTCGGAGGAAGACGGCGACAAGAAGGCGCCGAGTGAGGGATCCGCTGCATCCACGGGCAAGCCGAAGAAGCCGCTGTACATCCGTGAAGGAGGCTCCATCCCAGCCATCCGCTTCCTCGAGAAGGAGTTTGGGGCGCCAGCGGCCCATCTGCCGTGCGGACGGGCGAGTGACGCGGCACACTTGGACAATGAGCGGATGAGCCTCATCAACCTGGTCAAGGCTAGGGAGATTTTCGGCAAGGTGTTTGCGCGGCTTTAATTCTCGTCTCTTGATTTGTTTTTTCTTTTGTTGTCTTGATTGCATGGTTTACGAGGTTAGGGACGGATGTATCTCACGGGTTTTGTCTTGTTAATTGTCGTTACTATTGCTGTTCACCGTCTCAGGCCCTTTTCCTTGTCATTACTAGATAGACACTCGGACGGAGCATAGCAGTGCCTTGGTTAGATACCCCAAAAATAGACTCATATGTATTTCAATGAGTGATAATTTCACGTATCAGAGGTGAACGCCCCCAAAGTGTCTCACTTGAATCGCTTAGCTCGCTCTCCGGATGCTCCCCTATTTGGCCGACAGTCTAAGCCCTGCCGCCAGCCTCCACTTCACATGCCAGTCCGACAGATGGGATCCTGGTTCCTGGATCGGGTCACTGATGACGTCGGCGGTGTGGGGAGGAGATTGTTGAGTTGCTGATTGTCTTTGCGACCTTGTTGGAGCTTTCGATGCACGTTGGAGTGTATTTGATGGCATCCTCCATCTTCATTGCTCTGCAACAAACAACTGTTGTCTGACCACTCTACTGGACCCCTCTTGTAGTGAGCTTTCATTTCTTTACCTAGCGTCCATACTGCAGGCTATTCATCATCATCATGAGCGGCCTCAAGAAACTGCTCCAGAATATCACCGGACACAAGAGTGACGACTCCCTCCCAGCTCAAGCTCCGGCTCCCGCCCACCGCTGGTCAGGCATCGACAACACCCAGCCCGCCGGCACAAACCCCATCACCGCCTTCACCGTCGAATTCCTCGGCGAGCAGCGCTCCCTCAACAGCGCGCACCGGCGGGACCTCGGCTTCGCGGGCCACATCGGCGGCAAATGGTACGGCGTGTACGGCGACACGCTCTGGAGCAGCCCCGGGGTGACGGACCCGGACGGGGACCCGGATCCGGACGGCTTCCACGGCATGGTGCGCAACTCGGTGGCGATACTGACGGAGGATCCGCTGGTGGTGAGAGACTGCCATTTGAACGGGGACGAGCCCGTGGCGCATCCGAGGCAGTTTACGCCGTTTGAGGAGCGCTGGGGGGAGAGGATAGATACGGGGTTTGGGGGGACGAGTTTGGTGGAGGTTGATGGGGAGAAGGGTGTTGGCGCTGTGTATTATCTGATTGTGAGTTTTGCTTTACCCTTTTTATTCTTTTTTTCGTTAATTCCTTTTCCTTGTTCTACGGTGGTGATTTTGACGACCCGGGTTGAAGATTGACGGGAGGCGTACCTTATGAGATGCTTGGTGATGTAAGGTAGGTATAGAAAGCTGACGAGCTTTGTGATAGAATGACAATGAAAATTACCGCCACGCAGGTATCGCCCGCGTCGAAATCATCAACGACGCGCCCACCGTCACGCAGCGCCTCGGCGAGCACGGCTGGTGGTGGGACTGCTCGACCATGGCCAAGTACGGCGACATTGCCGCCTACCGGGACGTCAACAGCGACTACATTTACGTCTGGGGCCATCCGCCCAAGACGGTGACGGAGTGGCCGGCGACGGAGTACGTGTACCAGGCGCGGGTCAAGGCCAAGGACGCCTTCGAGCTGGATCGATACGAGTACTGGTGGGGGAGGAAGAAGGGGTGGCGGAGGGAGGTTCTGAAGGGGAGCGAGCATGATCCGGAGAGCGCGGTGATGTGGGGGGTTGGGCAGGGGCAGGTTGTGTTTAGTGAGTGGTTCAGGTGCTACATCTATATTCATTTGAGTGAGTCACTTCTTACCTTACCTTACTCCAGATACCTATATGATATGGGATGACTGAGGGTGGCTGGCGGGTGGTTGATGATGCTTGACTGACTGAGATCTAGATGGCCCCAAAGTGGCATTGCGAACGGCAGATAGGGTGGAAGGTCCGTGGAGCGAGGATCGCGAGATTTACACAGCTGAGCCGATTAATGGCGGGTTCGTGTATGCGGGAGTTGCGTATCCTTTTTTGGATGAGACGGGGAGGACGTTGACGATTGCGTTTACGAACAATAACCATGTACAGGTGATACGGGTGACGTTTGGGTAAGGTGTCTACAAGGTGTGAAGGCCCCTTGGGAGTTGAAGATGGAGACGATCTGTTTAAGGGTAAATGCAAGCTCTATGTATCATGGTTGATATTGAGATTGGGTTTCAATGCGTTTGAGTATGAATTCGCAATGCAACGCAGTCCTTCAACTGCTCTATATTTACCTGACCTAGTTTGTTGTTTATACTCAAGATTGGATATTCAGCCCAACTACAAGCGGCACGAGTTCCCATACTTATTTTTCTCAGTATCTGCTTTTGTTGCAGTTTAAATCTTGAACACGCAAATCATCGACCGTTTTGATGCGAGATGTACATCTCACTAACGCTTTAACGGCCTCGGGACGCGGCACAGACTGGCGGGTTCCTTCACGGGGCGTTTAAGGCCTTTCCCCGGCAGGCTCTTCCGGCTGGGCGGCGTTGCTAGCCGCAATACCCGCAGCAGCCGCATTTCTTTACTTCTAGAGTTGTCGGTGAACAGAGTCATACAAGCAGGAAAGGGGTATAAAGAAGGTTTGAAGTTCTTGGAGATGACCAGTCATTCCACCTCACGCTCGGTGAGACTGTTTTGGTAATTTTATCAATTCCATCTTGGGGATGTACCGACATTGATCGGCAGGCAGCGGCGGGTTGTTTAGGTACGTTCAAGGTGTTTGTCGACGTCCTTTTACACGGAGATCTTGAGTTATTACTCGTGGCTTTGGCTTCGATATGCTTCAAGTCTTTTGGTCCTGCCATAATCTCGCTGATAATTGCTGAGAGCTTTTGCAATTTTGATTTGGCGAGAAGGATTACCATATGGTGCAAAGCCAGACCGAAGCAGCAGAATGTATTAGTCTGCTCTCAACTCCATCGCAACAGGCCCTTTACACATTATGTTCAAAGATCTCAAGAACGAATACGCAATACATCTAATTGCGTCTGATTCTTGAAGATTCGAGCCTTGAGAGATTTTGCTTTCGAGCCACCGCTTCTCTCACCGGGTCTTCAGCAGGAACCTATCGCAGATCTAAGTACAGGTTGTAGTTCCACGAACTAGACAGATCCAGCGCAATAAGTTGGCAACTCCATGACTCACAGTACACCTGAAAGAACGACCCCATTTCAATGCATTCTGATGACTTGCCCTAATGTGACTGCTGTCAAAGAAGAAGCTGTCGAAACGCAGCTCTGCTCTCGTCGCTGTCCATCAGTGTGAATGCCTTCTTCGCTGTTGACTAATGCCCGAGCGGCTATTGCGGATCGCTCGGATCAACTGCCGTGAAGCTCCTGTCAACGATGCCCTCCCGGGCTTATTGCATCGGAGATGGTTTCCGGCCGGCCTGTTTTGGCCACAGCGACTCCATCTCGCTGGGGGGAAAAAAAACCAAAGGCGGAAGAAGAAGAAGAAGAAGTTTTTCGCCATCTTCCCTACAGCTTGCATACAAGAGATGATATTTCATGCGATTGCCCCAGGGCCTGCTTCCTCGATTCGAGCGTCTGACACATCTTGCGTGTAGGCTGGATCTTTTCTTGGCTGGAGCTGACCTTACCACACCTTCTTCTCATCTAGCCTCTTAACCGTTTCTTTGGGCCTGCCACGCTAGGGACCTACAGCTAGTAGCCCTCCTTGAGGTTCCAGTTGGCGCGTCTTGGCCTCTAGAAGTCCTCTCTCGCCACGGAGCAGCATCTTATCAATCTCATCTTCTGGGTTTACAGGGCTCTTGGCCAACTCACTCATGGGTACTTCGTTGCGTGAAGGGGACACGCCACCGGGAGACGAAGCAAACACGACAGACTCGACATCGCCAACCCCGATCCTGGTCAAGTGGGACGAAAATGAACCCGCCAATCCGTTCAACTGGCGGACGCTGTACAAGGCCTTCATCACGCTGCAGCTCGGCATGTTAGCCATGGCGGCCAGTGTGGGATCGAGCATCATGGCTCCCACCGACGAAAAGATCCAGGAAGTCTTTCACGTTGGCCATGAGGTCTCGGTGCTGTGCATCTCACTGTACATGTAAGTCAGTCCTATCACTACAACTACTTTATATCAGGTTCATGATTGCTAACAAGAACAACGATAGCCTGGGATTCGCATTTGGACCCCTCTGCTGGGCCCCTATATCTGAGCTCTGGGGACGCCGCATGTCTCTTCTTCCCCCCATGCTGGCCGTCGGATTGTTCTCGATAGGCACGGCCACCAGCAAAAACATCCAGTCTCTTCTCATCACGCGGTACTTTGGCGGTCTGTTTGCTTCGTCGCCGGTGAGCAACGTGGGAGCCATCATGGGCGACATCTGGAAACCCAAAGTCCGCGGGACGGCGGTGGTGTTTTATGCTCTGTGCGTTGTCGGTGGCCCAACTCTGGTAAGTGATGATTCTACATCCATCAATGAGTTTTCTAAGTCAACCTTGGCTGACCAGACGTCTCCAAGGGCCCCGTCATCGGCGCCTCTCTGACGGTGAATCCTCACCTCGGATGGCGCTGGACAGAATACATCCAAGCCATCTGGACCTTCACCGTTGCCGCCATCGCTCTCTTCTGCTTGCCAGAGACATACGGCCCCGTCCTGCTGAAGCGAAAGGCACAGCGTCTGCGCAAAGAGACGGGCAACCAGGCATACTACCACCCCCACGAAAGGACCAAGCTGTCGCCCAAGCTCATCCTCACCAAGCACCTCTCGCGCCCTCTCCGCATGCTGTTCACAGAGCCAATGGTTACCTGCATAGCGTTGTATGCGTCGTTTGTGTACGCCCTGCTGTACATGACGCTGGAGGTGTTTCCCATTGTCTTTGCTCAGCACCGGGGGTGGTCGCTGGTGCAGAGCTCGTTGCCGTTTCTGGCGCTGCTGGTGGGCGTCTTCATGGCCATGTTTGTCAACTTGGCGAATCAGCCGCGGTATGCGAGGCTCGTGGACGCTGCGGGCGGGAAGCCGGTGCCAGAGGCTCGGTGTGCTCCGATGGCGGTAGGGGGGATTGTCTTTGCCATTGGGCTGTTTTGGTTTGGCTGGACGGCAGATCCCAAGATTCACTGTGAGTTTTATTGATGTTCCCCCTTGGGGACGGTTTTACATTGCATGACGGACGATTGCTAACGGGATCATTTCAGGGGCTGCGCCCGTAGTGGCCGCCGTCTTCATCGGCGCCGGCTTCAACATCATCTTCCAGCAGTGCATCAACTTCCTGGTCGACACATACCGCATCTATGCCGCAAGCGCCACCTCGGCCAACACGTTCCTGAGGAGCGCCCTGGCGGCGTCGTTCCCGCTGGCGGCGGCGCCCATGTTCAACACCATGGGCGTTGGGCCGGCCATGTCGCTGCTGGGGGGAGTGGCGGTGATTGCCATTCCCGTGCCGTTCTTGTTCATGAAGTACGGGGTTGCGCTGAGGAAAATGTCCAAGTTTGCGCCGGTGGACGATGATGTGCGGAAGGAGAATAGAGCATAGATGTGTATCAAGTTCAAATTTGAAGGAGAAGCGATTTTGGAATTCTCGAGGCAATAGAACATGAATGCTTAGAGCCCATTTTGCATGACTGGCTGAGCGGATCTCTGTAATAATAGCCAGGCCAGAGCGATGTTTCAGCGATGATATTGTTGCGTATATAGGAAAACCTGGTTCTTGAGTCAACAATCTCATCGATAGTTTACAGTACAGCAAGGCACCAGAGCTCAACCAATTTCTCCCCGCAAACAACAGCCATCATATTCATCTCAGCCCCCCTTTCAAAGACCGCCTACAACCAGCACTGTTTACCCAATCAGCAGCAGCAGCATCTCGCAGCCACTAAAACGCCCGTCAGCAGTCAATCTCTATTCTAAAACCGACAGGCTCCACAACCCGCGGGTCAGTAAAAGTTGGCGGACAAGCAGCGTCCTTCGAACATCGACCGGGGGGGTGGGGTTGCCTCGGTTCGGGAACAGGGCCGGCGATTGGCATGGGGGAAAAGGCGTGAAGAATGGAGGGCAGTTGTCGTGATTTGTTTCGGCTTTGGACAGGTTTCTGATTAGTATTTCGGCTTTGATCAAGTGGCATCTCATAAGGTGTGAGGCTTTCAATAGCAGAGGATCGGCCTTCTTCATCTTCTTCCTCCTCTTCTTCTTCTTCTTCTTCTGCGGCAATGACATTTGGTGTAACCTAATGCAAAACCATAGTCTTTAGTCTCATTAATTTTCAACACATCTCTCAATCTATTTCCGTCTGATCCTGGTCATTCTCCCAACTCAGAACAAACTAGAAGCTCTCATCATCACCATGACCGCCGAAGCAAAGGTTCCCGCTTCGCTAGAGCAAGAAAGCGTTGTGACAAAACTCGACGACATGACCTTTGCCGCCAATCTCTCCCCAAGCTTCTGCATAGGCGCAGGTATGTGCTCCCCAAGTGGATTGAAATTTCTCACCATTCCCTCAGTCTCTTTGATCAAATCCAATTACATCGCACATCATGCAGTTCCCTATCCAAGACTAACCTCGACAAGTCCCCAACGGAGGCTACGTCGCCACAATCTTTCTCCGCGTAGCAAAGGAATACCTCGCCCCCAGAAATCAGCCAGACACAATCAGCGCTCATTGGGAATTCCTCAACCGCACAATCTCCGGCCCAGCTATCCTCACCGTCGAAGAGGCCAAGCCAGGCCGATCCATCACCGTCCTGCACGTCTCCCTTTACCAGGGCAATCTCCTATCCCAAGCACCATGGATCACAACAGGAGAAGGCAAGCAAAAGTCGGAAAAGGTCGTTGCCGCGTATCTCACCAACAGGAGCATCGCTGCAGAAAAGGGCATCAGTTATGCCACGGGATGGTCTCTCCAGCCAAGTTCTCCTCCGCCAGCAGACTTTTCGAAACTCCTCGCAAATCAGGATCCTCAATGGGGACCCCTCGATCTGTTGATTCAGCGAAGAGTTACCGCCATTCAACAGCTTCGGTTCTTCTATAACCGCAAAGCGTTTGCTAATTCAGAGGGCGCCTCTTCATTTGATCTTTGGATGTGCAACGCCAACGGCGAGCCCTTTACAGCTCCGGCTCTGGGGTTCGTGATTGACAGCACGGCGGCCTTCATCACAGAAATGCATCGACCTCGAACAAAAGATGATCCTCCGGCTGCGGGAGGTGCTCTCACGCGCAAGACGGGCTTGTGGTATCCCACGCTGGCGATGAATTTGGAGGTAAAGAAGGCGTTTCCGGAAGGGGGCGAGCAGTGGTTGTTTGTACGGACCTCGTCTAAGCAGGTGCTCAATGGCAGGTTTGATGTCGAGGTGATTGTGCTTGATAGGGCGGGCGACTTGGTTGCTTTGAGTCATCACGTTGCCATGATTGTGAGTTCTGAGAGGAACACGGCGAATAGGGAGGCGCTGGCTGGGATCAAATATAAGATGTGAGATGTGAGCGCTATTGGATAGACTGTCGATATTGATTCTTGTCGATGCGGAAATGAATGGGAGCGACAGATGACCAAGGCCTCAAGTCAAGAGTGTAGGTATCGGGTCACACGGCAAAGGTAGAGTCAACTCAGGATAATGACAAGCACGATGCATGTGGTCAAATGGGGAGACGAAGAAAGGCGTAAGAGCCCAAAGGCTCCTCTGTCCATTGCCACGGAAGAACGGGGCACAAGATTCTCACTTGAGCGGCTTTCTCTCAAGCAACCATCACGCTTCTTCCGCAAAATGAGTCGTATCTCTTGGTTCCTGCAGTGAACTATGGCCTTGCTTGCGCCAGATGTCAATTGATAGGAGTTCAGGGATGCGGGGGGCAGCTTGGCGCCGTGGCGGTCGTTGCAAAAGACATGAGGCAACCCGAGGCCACATATTCTGTTGTTGGTCGAGTCGAGCTGGCCGAAGATGATGATGCAGTTGCAGCCCAGCATGGGAGACTTGAGAGTCCGACAGTCTGTGTCAGCGGCCTGCTGTGGCTCATTTCTTAGATAAATCATGTGGTCTGCCATTGAAATGTCGTCAACGGATCAATGCCTCAGGGGCCCAAGTTTGTCTCATGAGACATGGAGGTTGCACACTCATGAACCTGGAACGTTCAATTCCAATATCACTGGGATTGCAGGTGACGATCCGGCCAACAGCTGAATGGAGGTTCTTCAGCGGACAGTTATAGGGCCTTAGCGAAGATCACAGCGCTGTTGCCCGAAGCGCCAGCGGTTCAGATTGGGTTAGGTTAGGTTCCCAGCTCCCGCCCCCGGAATATCGGCCGGCGGTAATACACTCCCGAGACTGCAGGTGCGGCCCAGCACTTCCATTCTAACTCACCCCGAGTCTGCCTCTCCTCCCAACCCCCAAATTCGTCACGATTCAACCACCGCTTGATCTCAGCTTGACTTGAAGACCATTTCCGCCTCACTTGACATCACCTGCAGCCTCATCTGTTAGAGCGTCCCTCCATGTCTTGCAGCCATCCGCTGCTGACTTGTCCAACTTCGTCCAGCTGCCATCGCCACAATGCGGGTCGCTTCAACCCCTGGCCTAGTCAGCGCCTCTGGCCATCCGAACAGTTTCATACACTACTGTAATACTTGCCCCATGGAGCAGACGCAGAAGCAGAGGTGGCTTGCTGGGCGCCGCGCCAATGGCGCCAGCCTGATCGCGCCGCACCGTCCCGCGCGCCTCGTCTTGTGGGCTGACTTGCTGACGACGCGGAGCCTCAATCGAGCCTTGGGTGATGATTGGAGCCGAGAGAGAGGCAAAGATCGAGGCAGCAGGCAGATAACGAGTGAGCTGCCAACTCACTTCTGCCGATGAAGAAGCCGCGTCAGTGCTATATCGCCTCTTTTGCCCTGCAGGTGTCATCGCAGGAACAACCCTCTTCCATCGATCGCAGCCGTCCCTTCAGTACGCTCGCAAGCCCGAGCCGAGTCTGCCACGAGTCACGATGAACAGCACAGGCGGCGGCGGCAGCAACAACAATGGCAATGGCAATGACAATTCTGACTTCATCGTCGCCGCCGTAGCGTTGGTTGTCTCGGTCGTGGCGCTGCTGGCCACGTTTATGCAAGTGCTGCAGCAGTACTATGCCTCGGCACAGGGCTATTCACAATGCAACGAAAAGGTCATGGGAGATTGGGCATTGACCAAGACGAGACGGTTCCGCTTCGACGAGCTACGGTTTGAAGTGGAATTTGATGTGCCCGTCATCTTCGTGTCGTCTCCGAAGAACCAAAACGGGCCCGTGGCAGATGCTCCCATCTACTACCTGGACGGCTCCCAGAAATCCCAGCAAGATACACACTCGACCGCCACGCTGGATGAGCGCAAAGAATACAAGGAAAAGTCTACAAAGGAAAAGATTCACACCTCGGACAATGAAAAGGCTGCCTGGTACGTGCTGCTCTTTGCCGCTCAACGCATGGAGTCCGAATCGCGGGAATGGCAGAAGGAGGAATACACAGCCTTTGGCCCTCCAGATCTACACGGCATTCCAGCAGAGCCTCCAACGTTGGCTGATGACCACACCTTGGCCGTGGCTGTTCAGCGGAAGCGCAAGAGCTGGGACACCATGCCTATCAATGTCACTAAGCCCTACGCCACGACTACCATGTGCCACCTGATCGAGATGATGGCGGCGATTGGCGTCTACTGGAAGGAGTTTGACCGCAAGCGTGATCGCTATTGGGGAGAGGGCAACGGCTTCATGATCTTGGGCGAGAGGATCAGCGACCCGGGACTCATGTTCTCGTTCCAAGTCAACGGCCAGTGCTCCTTCAAGCGGAATCGCGTCATCCCAGTCGACGAGATCAAGGAGCTGTGCTTCGGCCATGTGCCCACCATTTACCGTGAGAAGGAAGACAAGCGGCGCTTGACGGCCCCAGTCGAGGAGCGGCAGAACCTCAGCACCCTCGTCATGGGCAGCCTGCGCGAAATTTCCGAAACCTTGACCTCCATAGGGTGCAACAATGTGACGACTCGGTTATGCTTGGAGGGCGGAACACGAATGTCTCATCTCTTTCCCAGTATGCTCAACCTTTTTTTCTCGATCATTCTTCTCAGCACAGCTATGGCCATGACAATTCCAGATACTGACACGTCTTGGTAGTATCATTTGAGCTTCTCGGCATGTTGAGCAGAGTGTTCCACATAGAGAACAGCAGCTTCACTTATCTCCCCAACCCGACACCGGACAGCTGGGACAGGAGATCAGTTTCCCTCCCCAAGTTACTGGATGCTTTCTACATTAAGACGCAACTCGGGGCTATGGGCTCGGGGCAAGACACTCTCATCATCGCTCGCTACAGACACCACATTGAGCGTATACGGCAGCACCTTGATGACAAGAAAAGCCTCGACAGATGGCTCCTGTTGAGATCGCTCCATGCGGCCTTGGATGACACGGATGACGTCCTCACTGCAAGGACCAAGTCGGAAAGGCAGAGCAGTTACGATGCTGAAAATGCGTCAGAGAAGCCAAATGACGCAGCATCGGGGGCGGAGAAGCACATTCATCGGCGGGGTATTGTCCAGGATGTCGTGAGACATCACATCCAGGATCTAATCAGATTACTGAACCAACAGGAAGATCAGACTGCAGACACTTTGTCTGTTCGTCAAGACATACGGCCTTCTTCGCCAAGTCGTCCGCGAGCCCCTCTACGACGGTTTGAAGACATGGACGCTGCCGGGCCTGACGATCGACAGGACATCTTGATGGGTGTGTATTTTGACGCCATTCGGCCCCGTGTGGTGTCAACTGCTCAGAACTCGGCTTTTCGAAGAAGCAGTCTCGTTGGTGTCCCTCCAGAGCTTGGACGCACTCTCGCTGCAAGCATCCGCTCCAACACATCTCTTCTCCCCTCACATGCGACGAGTGAGTCCGTCACCAAGGGGCCTGATCATACAATGAAGGAGGTGACAATGGATCACCATGAGGGTCAGCTCGAGGTTCTCGCCCCAGTACAACAGATTGCCGCTTCGGAAGAAACCCACAGCGGCGTCTCGCTTGCCGACCTGGATGTAACGCACAATGATGTTTGGTGCACGCTCGTCTTCCGCATGGTCTGCTGGCTAATGCTGCATAACTTTAACAAGAAGGACGTTCAGTTGCCCAAGAGCGAGCTCCTGGGTAGTCGAATGCCAGTGTATATCTCATGAGCGAGCGGAGCCTCTTTTTGGGGTACATGTTGTTTACGGCGTAGGCAAGAATGATGGGCTGCTAGCTAAAGCAAGCATGCATAGCATTGACTTTTTGGGCTTGATAGACACTTGTAGAGAGATTTCCGGGTTACTATGCGGGTTATCCATTTGCTGGGCGAAGGGAATGGCAGTGCAGTGCATGTTTCTTGGGATCACGATAGACGAGTGCACAGGAACTTTGTTATGGCTTATACGGAGATTTTCGGTCATTCAACAGTGCCTGGTGGAGGAAACTATATCTGATTATGAGTGAAAGAGCTCTCTACTGTCACGGTGCCGTGGTGTTTCAACCATGGAATTCCGAGTCTGGCTGCGCGGAGACTCTCAGTAACCCGACTCAGATCATCCCTACTCTCCTCCTGACCCAAAGATCTCGAGCCTTGCATCAAGATTGGTTGTCTGTAATCCAATCGATATGTCAGTAAGCAAAGAAGCGGCGTGGTTGTTTTAGGGATATGGATTGCATGTGTTCTGGTCAGTTTTTATGGGGGGGTTGAAGAGGGGCGCATTATGCGTTGGCAGCCTGATATGAAGTGGCGTCCACATATCAAGGTGAGAAAAAGGAGATGTGACAAGGCACAAATTGCAGTTTTCCTTTCTGCTGGCTGGCGGTGGCTGTCACTGGGACGTGGCTTGCGGAGAGATGGGGAGTGAGGTGCTTAGGGGATGAGGTGTTTAGGGGCAGTTGAGGTTTCGTTGGATGATAAATGTTGGATTGGCTTATTGATGGTGTTGGATGAGACGATGGATGACGAGACACTGGAGGGTGAGATCGGATGGATTGCAGCGAATGATTGCGGCTGTATTAGAAATTGTTCTACTATGCTATCTCTTCACGGGGCTGAGTAGGTGGAATAGGAGGAGTCGAGCAGAGAACACGGAGGTACGGATAAGGTAGTGAGAGTGAGAGCGGGTGAGATTTGGGAAACCTGAAGTCATGGTCGTACATGGTCTAAGCCATGGTGAGTGGTCTGCCTTGTAGATTGTGTACGGTTTGTATCTCTCGAGGATAAAGGGACATGAGAAGCAGGTTGCCGCCGTGCAAACATGGACTGGGCTGCAGTTGAAACCCAAAGACGCACGCCACTTAATGGTGTTGTCTTGTTCGCTACATTAGCTGCATATGTACGAGGCAGCCGATGTCTTTCCTTGGACGCAATACTCCGTGTGTTAAGGCCGATACCCTATATCTACAGAGGTATATAGGAAAGGTCATAGGGTGATCCTACATACGGGTAGGAATTTTGAGACATTTGATGAATCATTGCGTGAAGATGTACGAGGTGTCGGCGATTGGGCAAAAACGTGTAATTGCAGTAAGGTATGTGAGCTCTTTACCGGGATGCATTTGTCCGAATAAGACGCTGCTCACATCGTTTGATAACGCGGGTCGTGCAGATGTCGCGCATCAGAGTTGCAGGAGTCGAAAGAGGGGAAGGGAGAAAAGGGCACCTGATTACGCGCAGTGGTAGAAGAAGTCCAATGCAAGTACAGGATACACAGCAATGAGGAGCCTATGCAATTGCTTGCTTCCAGGCCCGTCGTCTCCCCGTCTACCTCGTATGAAGAAGAGGCAGGTCTGCCAGATGGAACGACATGAGCCGCTTGCCGCTGGGTGTTGGTGATGTGAGTTTGATACCCTGCTTTGGGTCTTGGACGGGATATCACTGCTACCTAGTTGAATATGAAGAGAAGAAGAAACAGGGTTGATGGACATGGGTCCACAGGGAGGGACCGATATGGGGAGAGAGAGGACGGGGAAAAGTGGTTCCTGGTCTGGGTCTGACGATGGCGAGTGTGTTGAGATGGACACTTGATGTGATGCGAGGTTGAGTGGCCGGTAAAGGCACATGCATGTAGGTATGTATCCTGGCTTGACTGCGATTGGGCATGACTCTTAAACTGCAGTCGAAGCAGTTTTGTTGAGATTTTCCTTGCAAAGTCTTTGATGTATTAGAGACATCTCGTAGAAGCTGATATCTGCCTCGACTGACGCCAACTGCAAGGTTTGATCTTGGTACAGGAGGATCGCACAGTACAGAGCAGGTTTTACAGTGGAGAGATGTTGAAGCCTGTTTTTTTTGCGTGTCTCGTGTCTTGCCCGTGGAGGCTCGATAGAGACAACGCCTCCCGCACGGCAGCTAAAAGAGACGTCCGACCGATATTACCTGCCATTATACAGAGAAAAGAGCCTGTGACATTGTAACAGTAAGATTGGTCATCCCGTTCTCGACGCGATTTCAAATATTCTCGTGGACAGTCAGCCAGGGATTTCACGAGTATCGTAATTCCGGTAGTATGACATTTTTTTCTGAGGGTTCAATGGCAGTGAGTCTTGGAGGCGTTTCGGCGATGCCCTAGCATCAGCGCTGCAAGTACTGCGCACGCCGTTCGGACCGCAGAGGTACGAGCGCCGGCGAAAAGGCCAAGGTACCTTATTAGCGGCTTAGGCGCGGCCAAGGCAGCACCACTACAGCCGTTCCCGCAGGCTCATCACACCCGACCGATGTACTGTCGGGTATCTCTTGGTGGCGATTCATGGCCAGTTGGCCGGCGAAAGGCCTCGAAGACGCCGTCGGGTGCACGTCGCGATACCTACACCGGTACCTGTAGGTACCCAAAATGACCCAATGTCACGGTGATACTGTACGGTAGGTAAGCAGGCAACTGCACTGTGTTTCCAACACGCCCAGAGCCTCCAGCAGCGCTCCCTCCAGCAGAGCCCCGGCGCCTTATGTAAGCCAGCCCAGCACTGCACAACAGGCGCTATTGCCGCTTCCTTGACGCAGCACTTGCCTTTCGTACGCCACAAAAGGGGATCTGGACAGTGCCGGATTTCTCACGGCCGGACACGCCGCCTCTCGCCCTTTGTTCCGCCCAGCTCAACCGAAAAAGCAAGGCAGAGGAAATCCAAGCCAGATCCTCTCGAGCGTGTCCTGCTCGCCTCCTTCGACCTCCTCGACTCTTGCGTCTTTCTCTGTCTGTTTTTTTTTTTTTCTTTTGCACACTCTTTTGGACGCCTTGCGTGGTTTGTCATCGCCCGTCCCCTCACGCGCAAGGCCAGAAAACCTGCACCAACAACTCGCAGACGCAGAACAAGACCCGAAGCCACGCGCCCCAGCCTCGTGTCCCCCAGCCTGCAAACCCTTCAGGTTCCCTCGCCCAGACTGTCTCGCACTGGCTCCTGTTTCCCGCCAGCCACCAGCACCGCAGGCTCTTTTCCTCGCCTCTACATCCTCCTTTCGGCCCTCAACAGGAACACCGTCGACAGCCTCGTCTCCTCAACATCCCCCAGCGTCTCGCGACCACCCCCAAGACTCTGGCCTCGAGTCCAGTCGCCGGGCGGTTTCTCGACACCACGCCATGACGCCCTCGCCATCCCAGAGTCAGGGCCTTGAGCCGCGGCGGCCGAGGAGCGCCCACACGCAGACCGTGTCGGTCAACATCGCCGAGAGCACCACCGGCACGCCGCCCGCCCGCCGCTTCCAGCTGCACGTCAGCGAGTGCGTCGAGACCAAGACCGTCACCACCACCACCCGCCTGACCAGGAAGTTCCCTCCGTTCTTCATCCCCGACCCCGCCCCTCTCGAGAGCCTCGACACCAAGGAGTATCCCCTGGCCATGAAGCCCACGCCGCCCGAGCTGGCCGACTTTTCCTACAGTTACGACGGCGCTGCCGACGACGACGACGACGACGATGCTGATGCCGGAAGGCTGGAGGATGCTGATGAGGGCCTTGACGGCCAACTGGTAAGTGGAGAGTCGCCTTCACGGTTGTCCTAAAACTCCCCTTTCTTTTGGTGTCCATTCTGTTTTGCCCTGTTTTGCTGACAACGGCCGTGTTCATCAACGATGTAGGTCAGAAAGCGTCAGGCCTCCAGTCCGGCCGTGTTCAAGCAGGAATCCACGTCCAGCCAGGTGCAGACGCCGGAGCCCTTGAGCCGCATACCGTCTGCCTCCTCGCCCGAGCCATTCTCCCGCCGGAGCCATCGACTAGCCGCAGCCGAGTCCCCTACCGCGGCTGCCACGAGGTCCTCTCAACGGATTGCCCGCTCACATTTGCAAGCCGTGAATAACAGGCTGCGTCGCTCCCTTATCCAGGGAAGCAGCGCTGCCGGTAGCAGCAGCAACGTTACTGAGAGCAATGCCGGCACTCTGCGCCTGGATACCGGCGATAGAGCAGGCCGAAATGCCTCGATTGGCGTCCTCGCCACGCCCGACGTTACCGATGTGGTCGAGCCGATCCCGGCCCGGTCGTTGCAGAGGCGGCCCCTGCACCGCGAATACTCGCCCAACTCGCAGGCCATGATTCGCGGCCGCTCCAAGTCTCCCCTGTACGAGGCGTCGAGCCCCGCCGGAAGCGATGCACATACGTTCAGCAGCACCGTGGCTACGCCGCCGGTTACCGATGCCGACCCGGAGTCCTTTGCCGACGATACTGACGAATCCATGGAACCCTCGGTTCGCCCCCAGCATCGGCCCGCCATCGATGTTGTTGCTGCCCAGGATGCCAGTCTTCCTAGTCCGAGATTATCTCCCACCCTGGCGGCTGCCCAGCTGCATTCTGCCGAACCTGACGAGAACGCGCCCGCCAGTTTCAAGACGGACATGACCGAATCCGACACTTGGATGGCCGAATCCGAGGCAACCGACATGGTGCCCTATGAGCATCCTTCCCACGGCAAGCGAGCCCTGGTACGGCGACACGACCAGCCCGTCATTGTCGACCCCCAGACGCTGCTGGAGGCGTTTGACTCTATGAAGACGGAGATGAAGACGTTTATGATGTATCAGTTTCTCCGTCGGTGCCCTCGACCCACTCTCCGTATCGTCGCCGATGCAGTGAATCCCGCCCTCAAGTGCGACTTTCTGCAGCAGCTGCCTCTTGAGCTGAGCTACCACATTCTGTCGTATCTCGACTTCCGCGACCTCACACGCGCCGCCCAGGTATCGAAGCAATGGCGCAGCATCGTCGATGGCAATGAAACCGGCTGGAAAGAGCTCTTTGACAGAGACGGCTTCGTTCTCCCGCCCGGCGAGCTGAACAAGGCCATTGCTCAAGGATGGGGTTGGCAGGATCCCGTTGGCATCCACGGCTACGAGCAGGACTTGAGCATGCGGAACCGGCTGACCTCTTCCGAAAAGGAACTTACTCAGTCCCTCAAGCCAGAGACACCGCGAGTGCGCACCTCAAAGCGCAAGCGCGGTCTCGGCGCCTATTCGGCATCGGAGCGCTCGAAGCGGCGGGCCAGCACCCAGGAAGTGGTGGCCAACCACAACGAGAGGGCTCAGGCCGAGATCAAGCAGCACAAGTCGGCCGGCCCTCTCTCTGCCGCCCACGCCGCCATGCAGGCCGTGCCGGACCCCGGGATTGGCCTGCGGAGCCTGCGGCAGCTGCATCTCTTCAAGTCTCTCTACCGCCGCCATTACATGATCCGCCACAGCTGGACCGACCCCGCGACGAAGCCCAGTCACGTAGCGTTTGCCGCACACCCCCGGCACGTCATCACCTGCCTCCAGTTCGACGACGACAAGATCATCACGGGCAGCGACGACACCCTCATCCACATCTACGACACCAAGACGGGCAAGCTCCGCAAGAAGCTCGAGGGCCACGAGGGCGGCGTGTGGGCGCTCCAGTACGAAGGTAACATCTTGGTCTCGGGCTCGACGGACAGGTCGGTGCGAGTTTGGGATATTGAACGCGGACTTTGCCAGCAGGTTTTCTACGGACACACTAGCACAGTCCGCTGCTTGCAGATTCTCATGCCCACGGAGACCGGCATGGCTTCGGATGGCACCCCCATCATGCAACCCGAGAAGCCGCTGATCATCACGGGTTCCCGAGATAGCCAGCTGCGCGTCTGGCGTCTCCCCGAGGTTGGATCGCGGCGCTACATCCAGACGGGCCCGCCGGCCCAGGAGTCTGACTGTCCATACTTCATCCGCGTCCTGACCGGGCACACCCACTCCGTCCGTGCCATCTCGGCCCATGGCGACATCTTGGTTAGCGGGTCCTACGACAGCACGGTCCGCGTCTGGCGGATCAGCACGGGCGACTCCCTGCACGTGCTCCACGGCCACACACAAAAGGTGTACTCGGTGGTGCTCGACCACGAGCGCAACCGATGCATCTCGGGCTCAATGGACTCCCTGGTCAAGATCTGGGACCTCGCTACGGGCGCTTGTCTCTACACGCTAGAGGGCCATAGCCTCCTGGTGGGCCTGCTGGACCTTCGCGATGACCGCCTCGTGTCGGCCGCTGCCGACTCGACGCTCCGCATCTGGGACCCGCAGACGGGCAAGTGTAAGAACACCCTGATGGCGCATACGGGGGCCATCACCTGCTTTCAGCACGATGGCCGCAAGGTGATTAGCGGCAGCGAGAAGACGGTCAAGATGTGGGACGTCAGGACGGGAGAGTGCGTGCAGGATCTCTTGACGGACCTTTCCGGGGTGTGGCAGGTCAAGTTTGATGGAAGGCGATGCGTTGCTGCCGTGCAGAGAGACAACTTGACCTATGTGGAGGTGAGTACCATGCTTTCATTTCCCTGCCCTTCCCCCTTTCCAACATGTACTCGATTGGCTAACCTAATGTAGATTCTCGACTTCGGCGCCGTTCGCGATGGACACCCTCCCGAAGAACTTGGACGTCGCATCCTCCTGAATGAACCAGAAGTTCGTGCCATGATTGAAGAGGAAGTTTGAAGCCCAAAAGCGCGAGTATGACTTGGTATCCATTTTCCCATGCTTTAAGAAAACCAACAAAAGCACTGCGGTTTACGAAAACGAAAGGAGCAGAGAATGCATATATAATCAGCATTTGGTATGGATATGGAAGCACGCATCTGAAGGGCGATACGATTCTGCCCTCGGCGTTTTGTTGTTATAGTACATGCGCTGTCTGAGAAACCAGTGTCAGCATTACGGAACTCTGGGAGGGGGGTGTGGCAAGGCGTTGGGGCTTTATGTTTGTTTGTTTGTTGGTCCTTTATCTTTCGGCCTGTTTTTCATCTTTTCTCTTCCTCTTATGCGGCTATTCTCTTCATCTCTCCTTATTCTCTAGCCTTTCCTGGTTCTCTTGCAAATTGAAGAGGGCGATGGTAATAGGGGATGACATGGCATGGCACGTTTTTCTACTTCTTTTCACTTTTACGGATCTTTTTCTACTGAGGTGGTCCGAGATGATGTAGAAGGAGCAAGATGAAGGCAGTCTTGCGGACTGTGGCATTGCGGAGGACGTGTTGGAGGACGGGATAGAGATGTGCGTGGTGCCTGGAGCGCGTTTATGTTGACTTTGTATAAAGACGAACGGACGGTGATGTTATATACATGGTTATGAGACATCGCTACGGATGCATTTTGTCCTGCGTGAAGAATGAGCGTGTGACCGTTTGATGCCGTCCTGCTTCGCAGAACCTAGTAGTAGTACATGACTCTCAGAGGGTCGTACAATATGCGTGTGCTTCGTACCTCAACACGAGGAGAAGCGGCATGGAGTGCAAGGAGATGGGGGACGAGAGACGGTGACTAAGCAAAGGAGTTAACCGCCGCCTTTTTCCTCTTGCACGACATTTCCCTGTTCGACGGTTCCAGTTTGCAATTGATGATTGAAACATGGGCCCTGTCCGGAGTTAAGAAAAATCTGGCGCCGAGTCTCTTGTCGTCTGCAAGCACTTAGAAATGATGCAATGCAATGTATTTTGGTTTGTTATCATTACGGGGGGGGGAGTGAGGTAGGGTATCACAACAGGTACGAAAGGCGGGCACGTATGTATTGTGGAAAATGGCCTGCAGGCGGTTAAAAGGTTTTGGATGGGGGGTCGGAAAGCGGGCGCTGGCTTAACGAATGGAAGAAAGAATCGAAAACGAGATGCATTTGCGTTTGGTTGGATAGACTGGTTGACTGGATGGAGCTTTAACACGCTGGCAGCAAGGAGGAGGAGGAGGAGGAGGGCCCAGTTATTCGGGGGAGTGATAGGATGGGAGGGCTACCACTTGTCATGGCTACTAGTTTTGGAGGAGCATTGGATGTCGTCGAGTCGAACGACACCCCTGGCCTGTTTTTTTTTGTGTCTTCTCTCTGTTTGGGCTGCGGCTGCGGCTGCGGCTGGGAGTGCTGGGTTGTTGATGGGGTGGTTGAATTGAGGCTTATGCGTGAGGGGACGGGAGATAAAGGAGCTAAATTTGTGCTACTAGTAGGGTGGTTGCTGTGCTGTCTAGCTGGGTATCATGGTGGAGGTGTTGATTGTTGTTCGTCAATGAGAGGGACATGTCATGTAGCATGGGCATTCTGATGAGGACAAGATAGGCAGACGGACAGGACAGCAGACAGACAAGAGGAGGAGGAGGAGAGACTCCGGGAAGAGCAATCGGGTGCAGCAAAGGCAAGGGTCGGGTTCGGCTGGCTGGCCCCTCCCTAGGTAGCTGGGCTTGGTTGGACCGTCGTCATGCAAAGGCGCCTGATTGCGGGAGCAAATCGGGGGACGAGGGGCGGAGCAGCCGGGCGGCAGACGGAGTGCTGCTTTGAGCGGGCGAGACGAACAGCGCAGTTGTTGACAAGTTGACGGTGACAAGGGCAGGACAGGACAGGGCAGGGCCCATGCGAGATAATACATGGGGATGCCCACGAACAGCCCTGGGTCTGAGGGGGAGGTGTTTGCTTGGAAGAGGAGAGGAGGGGGAGAAGGGGGCCTGTGCTTTGTTGTGTTTGCGGAGGTGGGAGGCAAGGGATGGATGGATGGAGCTGGATCTTGGGGAGCGTTTGAATCTGGGCGCGTGCGTTTATGGGGATACTATGGAGAGGGATACTATGTATGATGAAGAGAGAAGGGAGCGGTTATCGTGATGGAACGGGGCTTGATAATTCGTTAGAGGGGAGGTGAGGCAAGGTGAGGTTCTAAGTGCTTGTTGGTGCCCGTCTTTCGCTCTCTGTTTTGTCCCCTTGTCGTTCCTTGTTGCGGCCCCCCCCTGGTCCGGTTGAGCGATTCCGTGGCGAGTGAGTCAACCACCACCACTGAGATCACACCAGCGGTTCCTCGGGTCTCCTGTTTCTGGTGCTGTACAGAGCTACTTGTACTGCTACAGTACTGTATTGTTTTTGACTGCATTGCCGTGTCATCATTCACTATGAGAGGGATGCGTGGGGATTGTCATTGCGTGTAATACATACTCGTACCTTACTCGCGCGTGCCTGTACACAGCAACCCATGTGCCTAGTAATAGCATTCAAATGTAGGTACCTAGGTAGGCAGAGTGACGATATCAGGAGGCGCAATCGGAGTCGAGACGCCTGCTGTCTGGCCCGTCCCATGTCGGCGGTTGTGTTGTTTGCCTGCCATAGGCTGGCTTGGGAAGCAACAGGGCCTTATTAGCTGGCCATTTGCGCGGGTGACAAGGGGACCAGGGCGGCATGCGTTGGTTATTGGTGACTTGGACTCTCTGGGTGCGTTTTTCTTGCTGGGATGCCGGACTTGGGCATCATTTGTGACTGGATGGATGAACGAGTTGGCTTTTGTTGTTGTTCTTTGACGGCGCTGGAGTCCTTTAAACGGCTGGATGCCCCCGATTCATTCATTGACATGTTGTGTTTGAATTGCTCTTGCATATAGTATCCTCTTTTGCGGTGTTTCCCGATACCTGGGCCTCGTTTGGTCTTTTGTTCTGGCTTGTACGAACCGCGGCAACGAGCCACTGCCACCGACGATAACACACGTACCTACACACGCGACATCATAACGCAAAGACAACAACAATACCAACGCAGCTGCAATAGAAAGAACGACAAGGAGAGAACCGACTACTAGTCATATCAGACAACAAGATCATCATCGTCGCCTCCCAAGTTCAACAGCCCTCACGGCCCGTCTCCTGAGCTGCGCGCCTTCGACTAGACCAGCGGGTCCTTTCAGGGATCCCAGCAGAAAAAAAAAATCGAAGCCAAAAAAAGGACCAGCCGGGAGATCCTCACCGACATCTTCACGCAGCGGGAGAAGAGGCATTGATAGCCATACTATTATAGTGGGGGGTTGAGTCAGGTCGTGACATTTCCGTCTGTGGAATCACCCTGGTTCCTGTACCTTGGCAGACTGGAGCTTGGCTACATAGCTGGCTGTCTGTCCACTCCTTCTTTTTGTTCTTCTTTTGTTCTTCTTGGTTTTTTCTTCTTGGATTATTTGAGACGACTGGGGATCTTGAGGCTATATAGCTTGGAGGTCTTGACATATACGCCTTGACGATTCGGGTGCTTCCTGAGATATACTACACCCAATTGGCGGACTAAAACGACGGCAACAAATCGATCCACGAGACATCAACACCACCGCAGACAGACCAGACACGACACGAGCAAGTATGAGCGGTTCTGGAGCGCCCGGCGGGCTGCCGCTGGATGCGACCATCACCATTGTCAACAACTCGGGCAAGATCATCAGCACCGTATGTCGGGCCTCACTCTCCTCCCTCTTCCCCCCTCCTTCTCCCTCGCATACAGTCTCCCCCCCCCCTATCTATCTATGCATCCCCAGTCATCCCCTCCCCCCCCCGGTCTCCCTGCTTTTCGTAGCAACCCGACGTCGCACCGCATGCTAACTCACACCCTCCAGGGAAAGCAGCTGCTCTCGATATGGAAGACGGCCCAGGCCTCGTACCGCGAGAAGAAGACGGAGCTCAACCAGGAGCGCGCCGCCGAGAGGAGCAGGCCGCCCCCCGTGCCCGTCAAGCGCGCCCAGACGTTCGACACGAGCCGCGGCATCGCCCCCCCGCGCCGGCAGTACGACGAGCTGAGCGTCGCCAGCTCGCACCGCACGTTCAAGAGCTCCATCGCCAAGAAGCAGCTGCCGCCCGTGCCCAACCAGCTCGCGCTGACTGAGGGCAACCTGGAGAAGCTGTCTGAGGCGTCGAGCGTGGCGCCGTCGTCGAAGCCGCCGTCGGCGTACAGGGGCTCGTCGTATGCGGCGGCGGATGCCATGGTGCTCAAGAGCGGCGGCGGCAGCTTCTCGCGGGTTGATCCTCCGGTGCAGCAGCAGCCGCGGATGCTGGCCCGCACGCGGTCGGACCTGGAGATTGAGGCCAACAAGAGGATGAGCATGGGGAGCGACTTGCATCTTGCGTACGGCGACATCCCGCCGGACCTGGCGGACCGGGTGGACTTGGACCAGCACACGTCTCATTCACATCATTATTATGATGAGCCGGAAGGGATGGGCTTCCCAGAGGGGCATGTCGAGGATGAGCGGGAGCAGGCCGAGCAGCTGATCCACAAGATCGAGAACCTGCTGGACGAGGCGCACTGCGCGCAGCACTCGGCGACGGCCATCATCACGCATCTCCAGGAGCGGCCCGATGCCGCCGCCGCCGTGGCGCTGACGCTGGCGGAGCTGTCGGGCATCATCACGAAGCTGTCGCCCGGGTTCGCGGCCATCCTCAAGGGCACGTCGCCGGCCATCTTTGCGCTGCTGGCGTCGCCGCAGTTCCTGATTGGCACGGGCATCGCCGTGGGCGTCACGGTCGTCATGTTTGGCGGGTGGAAGATTGTGCAGCGGACGTTTGCGAAAAAGGCCGTGGCGTACGAGGGCGCCGCGCCTGCGCCGGCGGCGGCGGTGCCCCGGCTGGAGGAGCCCGTCGACGAGGCGATTGTGCTGGAGACGGTCGAGGTGGACATTAGCGGCATCGATACCTGGCGCAGGGGCATCGTCGACTGGGGGTACGAGAGCGCGGACCAGGAGCTGATGACGCCCGAGGCGGACCGCGTGACGAGGGAGCGGAGGGCGAGCAAGGGGGGCCCGCCCGAGGACTATTTCGACTCCAAGTCGCGGAGGAGCAGCAGCTCCAAGACGCATCGGTCGAGCAAGGGGCACTCTTCTTCGTCGCACAAGTCGCACAAGTCGAGGCATGAGTCTGTGTCATCGTCTGATAAGAAGAGCAGCAGCAGCAGCAGCAGCAGCAGCAAGAGGGACAAGGAAAAGGGGGATGACGCGAGCAGTGTCAACTCGATGAGCCTGATCAAGAAGTCGATTGCCAGCAGGAAAAAGGCAATTGATGAGAGCGGCGTCAAGAGCGAGGAGTTGCCGCTGCGGGCCAAGATGAGGCAGACGAATATGCTCAAGGCCTTATTCAAGAGCAAGGAGCATAGGCAGACTCTGATTACTTAGGGGTGATGATTTGTTCATGCTGGACTACATGAGCTGAGGAGATAACCATGGTGACGATGACGATGATGGGATGGAATGACAATAAGCAAGCAAGCAAGCGATGAATTACAGTTTGGATGAGAATGGTTTTTATATGGGCATATTTAAGACGGTAAATTGCGAAATTGCAGACCAGGGCATATATAGGATTACAGATACAGTTCGTTTTGGGAATATAAACATGGCTTCAAGGTTCTTTGAAGAAGCTGTTATTGAAATGGATGGTCATATTAGACAAATGTCAGGCAAGAAAGAAAGCTCCTAGACACATATGTATGCTGCCGGTGACATATACACGCCTCCATGCACGGAAATCAGTTATATGGCATCTCAGTCGTAGCGACGGGCATCTCAAACATACAACTCCTTCCATCTCATCGCATCTTTCTCATCAATCATCATCACAGCTCTAATCTCTCATCCGCCTCCTTGTCCAACGCCTCAACCACCACCACCTCCGCCCTCTCCATCCCCCCTCCCCTATACGAATACGTAAACTCCCACCCGCTCCCGGCACCCGCATGCTCCCCCTTCAAGTCCACAACCACAATCCCTGTCCTCGCGTCCGGAAACCGCGCAACGATCCTCCGCACCGCGTCCTGCGCGGCCTCGAGCGGCGTCATCCCGCGGCGGAGCGACTCGACGGCCTGGTAGCACGGCAGGAGCCGCATCATGAGGTCGCCGTCGCCCGTGGCCGCGCAGGCGCCCGCTTGCGAGTCGGCGTAGGAGCCGGAGCCCGGGATGGGCCCGTCGCCAACGCGGCCGGGGATCTTGTGGGAGGCGCCGTTTGTGGTTGTGCAGGTTGCGAGTTGGCCGGCGGCGGAGAGGGCGATGAGGGAGAGGGTGTCATGGGATGGGTCGTTGATATCGGTGGACTGTGATGTGAGGTGTTGATTGTTATCGGCGAGGACGTTGGTTTTGGTGTTGATGTTGGGGATATAAGGGCCGCAGGAGGAAAGGGGGTCGGGGAGGACGCTGGATCGGTAATTGGGCTGGCAGTTGTTGGCTCTCCATTCATGGCATACCCGAAGCGAGTCTTCTGTCGATAGTGATTCCTCCGCGAATCCATTTTCCACGGCAAACTGCGTCGCCTGCTCACCCGCGAGCAGCGTGTGTCTCGTATGTTCAAGCACATGCCTCGCCACGCCGACGGCATCCTTCACTCGTCGCAGGTTCGCCACTGCGCCGGCGTTGAGCGTCTGGCCGTCCATGATGAGCGCGTCAAGCGTCGTTTCGCAGGACTCATCCGGCGAGCCGCCAAAGCCGACAGTGGTGTCGCATTGGTTGGATTGACATGCCTGGCAGCCTGCTTGGGCGGCGTCGAGGGCGAGCGAGGAGGATGAGAGGCTGGATGTGAGGGCGAAAAAGGCGGCGTCTGTGGCGGCGGTAAAGGGGCCGGACCAGGTGTTTATGATGAGGGGAGGCGAGGAGAGGATTGCCTGTATCCGGGGGAGGATGGTGAGGGCTGTGGTGATGGTGGAGAGGGATATATAACGAGACATTGTGATGTAAATTGGATTGTATGTGTGGCACAACTATTGAGAAGAGACGCGAGAGGAATGAGTTATAGTTGAAATAAGAGGGACTCTCCAATCAGATATTCATCGTTCTCATTCTACATCAAGGCTCTCAATAGCTCTCATCCCCATACCTGTGACATGAAGCCGTCTCCGTGCTCCAAACCGCTTCTCCTCACTCAGCCAATAATCCGCCTTTCTTACTTAGCATGCATCAATCGAGGCCTCATCTCCGGAGCTAATGCGCTTACACGGTTTGATCCCATACGAGAAGCGGGGGATGCCAGACTCCCCCTCAAGTCCGCTCTCCCCATCCTTTGTCCCTCCTTCTCCTCTCATCTCCGTAGGCATCACTGAGGCAAGAACCACAGACTTGCGTGATCACGACCCGTAGAATCCAGCTATTACCTAGGTATTGCTGGATTTTGGTACCTAGATAGAACAATTCCATCCAACACCTGCGACCATTACATGTTATAAAATGGCAGCGGTGTCTTCTCCTCCCGTCAGTGGTGATTCTGCGGCTGCTGTTCGCGGCTTCTTGCAGTGTGCTATCGCGCTCTACCAAGATGTGTTCGCCTTGCATCACGACGCAGATGGTGATGAGCAGAACGACAGTTCCACGACAGACGGCCCCTCCACGGCAGGCCAACGCCTTGCTGTGCATGCTGCTGCCCTTGGCGACTCTCTGGAGGCGCTCAGGGCTGTTCAGCCCGGTCCCGATGAAGTCGACGCGCATCCGCTCAGCACTCTGCCAGGCGCCTGTTTCAAGGTCGCACAAGACCTGATGCTCCATCTCGACAGAGTTACGGGAGAATTGCAGTCGAATGCGGCCTTTGATGCCATCAGCTTGCGTGACTTGTGGTCCCTTCGCGATGTTGCTGCGCTTGGAACGAGACTTCAAGCCTTGAGCAAGAAGTTCCATGATGATGTTGACAACACATTTGAGTGAGTTGCTATACCGACATGTCGAACAGCCAAACAAGGGTGCTGTGCTGATATGCTGCCTTGATCAGAGTCCGTCGGCTTCCTCTCCCCGACCTCACTCCGCTGAAACAAAAGAAAGACGAGCCTCAAGACAGAGATGTGCCGCCAAAGGAAGAAGGCCAAGAAGACAGAGGGAAGCAAAAGATGCGGCGCATTAACATTGTACCCGGCGACAACAAGTTCATTGAGGTCCCCGTCAAACATCGACCAACGCCAGACTCCATCGTGCACGACTACATCCTCGACACTCTTTCTTACAAGAGTATGCACTTTCGAGAGCAAGAAGTCACAAAGGCTCATAGCAAGACTTTCGAGTGGGTGTTCCAGCCTCTCACTTCCACTGGAGAAGAAACCGAGCAAATGTCAGAGCACCCCTTCTCGACATGGCTCCGCGGTGATTCTCTTGGCCCCATCTACTGGATCACTGGAAAGCCGGGATCGGGCAAATCGACCCTCATCCGGTTCCTCTTCGATCACAAAGCCACCATGCAACGCTTGAGCTCTTGGGCTGCTGGCAAGCCCGTGTTGACGGCTGGCTTCTTCTTCTGGACCAGTGGCTCCCGAGAGCAGCGCTCGCAAACTGGGTTGCTGCGGTCTTTACTCCACCAGATTCTGTCGGCACATCCAGAGTTTGCTCCAGCGGCGTTTCCGGATGTGTGGAAGAAGCTGAAGACACTGACTACGAAAGAACGGGTTGCGTTGCAGCTGGATTGGTCTGTTGCGGACCTTCTGGAGGCATTCCAGGGCGTCATGAATGTGGTGGTGCCCAAAATGAATGTCTGTTTGTTCATTGACGGACTAGACGAGTTCGAGGGCGACCATACGGCCATCATAGAATTCTTCAAGAGTCTGTGCCTTGGAGAAAAGGGGCAATCGATCAAGATTTGCCTGTCATCTCGACCATGGGCCGTCTTCCAGAACGCTTTCGAGTATGCTGTCCCGAACCTGAGACTGCAGGACCTCACCTACAACGACATGTATCGCTACATGAGGGACAAGATGCGGCAGAACACTCACATTCGACACCTCCTTAAGCACGAGCCCGAAGCTGGAGAAGGACTGATCAAGGCCACGGTGGACAAGGCTGATGGCGTGTTCCTATGGGTGAGACTCGCCCTCAACGAAATGATTCGCAAGTTTGATCAAGCCACTGGACTTGCGGGTTTGTCTGCAATCATGCAAGCCTTGCCGGCGGAGCTGAACGATCTCTTTCACTTGTTCTTCTTTGAGAACCAGAATCATGACGAACTGGCCGAAGCTGCCGTCATATTTGGCCTCATGAATGCGCGCGAGCTTGTGGCCGACTTTATCCAAAACGATGCCGCCAACGCCCTGACTCTGTGGGAGTTTGCATTTGCCCTTAAGGGCAGAGAGGATGATTCAGCTGCGGTTGCCGAGGAGGTGAAGCAGACATCGGCCGCCACAGCTTTTGAGCGCTGCGCAATGGCCGTCTCTCTCATCATGCACCGATTCTCGGGCCTTCTGGGAATACATTCTCCCTCTGAGTCTAGTGCTCGCGGCCTTCGATTTGCCGACAAAAACGAAGACATGAGCGAAGTCAGAGAAGCGGCCGCAAGACGAGTAACTTACATCCATCGCACGGTGCGCGATTGGTTCATGGAGGAGCCTGGAGTCATGGATCGTCTTGTCAGCAAGACGCCTGTCGATTTTGATCCTCACTTGCGGCTACTCCGATCCTATATCCTCCAGATGAAGAACCCACTCGAGGAGGTTGAGCATCACCGACAGCTGGACGAGTGGTGGCCCGGCATTGCGCTTGCCATGACGCATGCAAGGTACGTACAGAAGGATCCTCGACATCTGCAGCGAGCAATGGTCAACGAGGTGGACAAGACCATATCCTGGTACTGGCTGCGCAAGACTGATGATCCGTACGACCACTGGGCCAGATACGGGCTGGGCCCGTATCGAATCTTTACGATTGCTGCGCCGTTGTGGCAGCCCTTTCTGTGCCTGGCCACCAAATTCGGGCTCGCTCGCTATGTCTCTGAGGAGATCCTCGCTCGCAGCGCCTTAGAGGGAAAGCTGTCTGACCAAGCGAAAGAACTTCAGACGGCCGAATCGACGCCGCTGCTTGCATACGCCACCGAGTTTCTCTGCTCTCGCAACAAGACCATCTACCCCCTTTCGGACCCTCGTCTGGTCGCGCTGCTCCTGAACAACCAGTGCCGCATCAACCCCGGCCCAAACCACCCATACACGGACTTCTGGACTCAGCAGCCACGCACGCCTTGGATCACCGTCTTGAGGCACTTGCGTGATGCACGGCGGCGAGGCTGGATCGAGTACTACGATGTTGATCCGCAGGGTACGGCGCGGTGGGCGGAGATTGTGAAGCTGTTTGTCGAGGTGGGAGGCGCTGATAAGAAGGCGGTTGTTGCCAAGGACAGCTGGGATCCCGAGATTACGGCGGTGGGGGTGATGGAGTTGCTGGAAGAGACATATTTGGCTGTTGAGATGAAGGAGTTGGTGGACTTGATGAAGGGCTAGAGTAGTGTATTCTCGAGAGTGGCTTGCAGTTGCTGGATGCATTGTCTTGTGGCTGTAGCCTTCTAAAGCGGTTTCCAAGCGATTATACTGTTATCAGTCAGTATATCTATTCTCCAGCCCATCTCATATTATTCAAAGCTCTACATGCCATGCTCTATGCACAATATGGGACAGTGTATTACATTATAGTCACATACCTATGTATAACAGACCTCGTCAGCTCATGAGAAGAACTCAACGAACAGTGAGCTGCACTATTTCAGTCCACGTGCATCGAAGGTAACCCAGGACTTTCGATTCGTTGACAAAAAGTGCTTAAAATTGAGCCTCATTGTTGCTGTAGGACGCAGATTTATATGTACCCAATGAAACTCGGCCTGTGTTCTATGGCTGTGGCCGACTCAGGCAGAGCTGAGACGTATGTTCTGCATAGGGTGGTATTGCTTTGTCTTCTATAAAGATACGTCAGGGAAGTCTGAGGAAATATGTATGTTATTGGTTGTGAATGGTGGACTTACTCGCGTCCTTGATTCTGGGTTTGTTGGTTTATTATGCAATGGTGCTTGGACTCTACAGGCCTTGATATTCTTCGCTATCAAACACCTTTTTCAACAGGTTTCCACGCCGCAATGATATGTAGAGATTCTCAGACTCGGCGTATTTTACGTGTATGCGCAGAAATAGGCCCCTTCGATTTGGGGTAATGGTATTGAGAGAAACATCTAAGTCGACATATAGAGAGCACCAGATACCCAATCCTTCCTTTCACATCCTCTCTGTCTATAACCTTCTTTTCTTTGACAACGATATTGGCATCATGGCGCCGATCTGGGTCGGACTCGTAGGACTCACCGCAGAAGATGGCAGGATGCCCGGAAAAGGCGCCCACTTGCCAACGCATCTCAAGTCGCCCAACTTTGAGATTGTTGCTCTTTGCAAGTGCTTAGCGGCGCTGAAGGAAAGTCTGTTAGATTTGATGATGGGGTGATGCTCCATGAGTTGTTCGACAGGATTGCAAAGGCGGCGGATTTCCCTGAGGCTTCCTGAGGCACCTTCTTGTTTCTTCAGCCTTGAGCCAGCTTACATGGACTTTCTCTTGAAGAAGCATGTCAATTGGATGGCCGTAGTAAAATGAGCCTACTCGGCTATGCATCCTCTCACATGAAACGACCCTGGACAGCTGAATTCGTGAGCTGAGGGGAGGCGGTGGCGCAAGCAATTAGCGATTCAGCACGAAGCTGCCTCACAATCTGCCTCATCACGTTGATGCACTTATAAAGCGTCAATGATGCCTACTGTTGCAACTTGTGGACAATCATACGATCAAGGCTTACATTCATCGTCATTTGATCAAATCATCACGGACATTGCCAACCCTGTAACGACAGGCATTCGCCATGGAAGAAGTCAATATCTCGAGCGACTACAAGACAAATGAGAAGAGTTTTGCAAATATGTCACCAGATCAAGCCGCGGTTATTGCAGAAATATTCGCATTAATTGTCGATAAGCAAGTTGATCCAGTATCAAATATCATTGCTACGGGTCTGGTGTCTCCAGATTCTCCAAACAGCCAGGGCGAAACACCACTCATGATAGCCGTCGTCAACAACGATGCAGCCATGATACGCACACTTGTATCCCTCGGAGCAACAGTCGATGGTTATGGCAGCTATTCCGAGAATAACCATCGGACGAAAGCCCAGCGAACACCCCTTCAAGTGGCAGCTGCACAAGGAAAACTCGGTATCGTCAAGATCCTGCGCGATCTTGGCGCTGATGACTCGCTCGTTGCTCCAGACGGAGCAATTGCACTTCGATTAGCTGCCAAAAATGGACATCGAGAAGTCGTCGAGTATCTGCCAGCTCGGCGTGGCGGTGCTTGGAAGAGGTGGAAGACGACACATGACGAGCAGATGCAACGCATTCGTCGTATCCTGAACAAGATTGGATCGGTTCTCAAGTTTTTGTTCTGGGCGGTGCCAAAGTTCATCTTGTGGAAGGTTCCAAAACACGTCGTTATGACAGTCCCAAAGGCTGTCTTTGTGACCCTGCCAAAGGAGATCTGGGAGCGTCGACACAAGGTTGGGCCTTGGTGCAAGCGGCAAATTTACAAGGTCCCCAACCGCGTCAAGAGACTCGCCAATCATGCTCGAGAAGGCATCAGAGAGACAGGAAAGGCTCTCAAGAAGACGCCGGGAAAGATATGGGAGGTGATGAAGCGGGTACCCGGAGCTTTGCGACTCATTTTATCATGGATTGGCAAAGGACTGGGCAATATTGGCAACGCCGCTTTCGACGTCCTGAAGCGTCTGGTATCATTGGTTCATACGACTTTTGAAGCAATTATGAGCTTCTTCAATGCTGTTACATTGCGCGATGTCGCCAACGGATTCCGTGCCGTTTTGCGCGCCGTGTTTATAGACTTGCCTAAGGCCTTGGTTTGGTTCGTGACCACTGTTGGCAAGATAGCCTATGAGGCTCTCGGATCCGTGTTGGGGACACTTGGCAAAGTGCTATTCTATGCTGTTGCCATGATAATACGTCTCCTCTGCTGGCTGCCTCAAAAGACGTGGGACATGCTGCTGGCGTGCGGGAACTCGATGGGCAAAGGCTTAGAGGAGGTTATGGTGTGTATCAATCCTAAGAGAATATAAGTGAATGAGAGAGATAATGGAGTCACCATAGCCTGAGTGTATCAAAGGACTCACTTCTGGCAATGGAACAGTAGAGGTTTGTGCCAAGATGCCATGTATCATGAGATATTGGTTTGTATGCAAGACGGAGACAAGGAATGCTTCCATGCATCAGAAACGTTGCAATCACCTGCTGTACACTAGACTATCAAGAATAGAGATTGTAATTGCAATGATAAATAATATAAACATAGTCAAGCTCTGATCAATCAGAATGCCCTGATAATATTGTTGACGAGATTCTACCTGGCCCGCTCAGTGCCGGCTCCGCACGGCTACGCGCGGGATGCTCGAGCGAACCAGGTCATTATTCCCAAGCGATGATGAGCGTATCAGCCAGCTAGGCTCTTCCAGATCCCATGGTCAGCTACTCCTATCAAGATGCTGGCACGCTGGCAGGCGGGATGCCGTGTCCGATGTCGTTTGTGGTCGGCGTATGGTGGAGCGCGGAGTATGATTGCGGCGTGATTGCTGAGCCAAGGGCGCGCCTCGCAGAGCACTCATGGATGCTTGTACTGCTTCAATTCAGATGAAAGACTATGGCGATAGGAGCAAATCATTCCCTTGATATGCCTGCTGTCACTTGCGTTCGTATCTCACGTATGCAACGGGCTTGGTAACTTGTTGATCAGATAGTATTTCCGGTCCACGTCCGATACCCCCCAATTTGGCAGCCCTGCTCCGTCCAGATCTTGGTCCTCGCTCTGCAGTTTCTTGCTCAGCGGACATGTGCCGGACATGATTCGCCAGCCTCTTGTGGATGGCGGCCGGCTTTCCTATGTAGGACAGAATCATACCTTACTTGACATGTAAAGTATCCTGCGGTGAGCGTTGGAGATATATTATTAATGCAGCCAGTTTTCCTTCCCCTCTCTCACAATTTTGCTGTAAGTCCAAATGATATTCACGTGTTGGGAGGATCTTGGACTGTTCTCTGCATTGGAATTCTGTGCTGAAGGATCAAAGTCCCTTGCTGTAGCCATAGGCCGAGCCTGGCAACACCCGAAAGTCATCGCAGGAGATGCAGTCGAACAACAGTGTCGGCGACTCGTCATCCGTCTCGTCAACACCTTCGGAGTCGTCGCAGTGGCAAGATGCGTCCAGAAAAGAGACTCTGGGGCCCGAGGTGCTCGCAATAGGCAATAAAACAGTACGTTTCGTGGTCCGATAAGCGTACATGCTGCTCCCATCACTTACAGCTGTGTTTCGCCAGGAGGATGTCGATATCGAGAGAGCAGACACAGTATCAACGCGATCCGGCGTCTTCTCGAAACTCAACTCACTATCGAGAAGCAAGAGCAAGCAACAATCGGATTCTCTGCCAACATTTATTCCCGTCACAGACCTCGAAAAGTGCATCATCGGATGGGAAAGCCAGCAAGACCCCAAAATGCCGCTCAACTTCTCCCGCAGTCGCAAGTGGCTCATCACCCTCCTGTTGTCGGCCATCACCTTCATGACGCCGTTTGCCTCGTCCATTCTTGCGCCCTCTCTCGCAGCTTTGGAGAAAGACTTCGGAGTGAGTGACATTACCCTGGGGTCTATGCCTGTGAGTATATTTCTGCTGGGGTACGCTGTCGGCCCGTTGTTTCTCTCGCCGCTTTCCGAAATATACGGTCGAAATCTAGTTCTCATCTCTGCGAATGTTTGGTTCTGTCTCTGGTTGGTGGGATGCGCGCTCGCTCCTACGCTCAACACGCTCATCTTCTTCCGGTTCATGGCCGGTGTTGGAGGGTCTGGTTGCCAGACTATTGTAAGTCCATCACACAAAAGATTTACTATTAATCTGTTAGTAGCTAAACATAGAGAAGGGCGGCGGTATCATTGCCGACCTCTTTCCCATTACCGAGCGCGGAAAGGCCATGACAATCTGGATGCTGGGCCCCGTTGCCGGTCCAACCGTTTCCCCCGTCATTGGAGGCTTTGTGACTGAGACGATTGGCTGGCGCTGGGTCAACTGGCTGTCTTGCATCCCTGCGGCTGTGGTGGTTGTGGCCATGATGTTCTTGAATCGTGAGACAAATCATCGTGTCCTGATCGCTTGGAAGACGGAGAAGCTGCGAAAGGAACTCGGCATACCGGAGCTCAGAAGTTGCTACGTCGATCCAGAGGCTCCCGCCTTGAGCAAGAGACAGATTCTGCTGCTGGGGCTGGTCCGGCCAATGAAGATGCTGCTGCGTTCACCCAACATCTTTGGGCTGTCGCTATACATTGCCTTTGCGTACGGATGCTTGTACCTCCTTTACAACACCATACCGACCGTCTTCCAGGGCAGTTATGGCTGGACTCTGGGCATCACCGGTCTGGTGTACCTCACGTTGATGGTCGGATATGCCATCGGCCTGCTGGCGTTCGCTCTTCTCTCGGACAGCACCGTGATTCGCATGACGGCAGCCAACGACGGCGTTTACGAGCCCGAGATGCGTCTCCCGGATTGTCTCTGGTTTGCCCTCATCTTGCCCACCACGTTCTTCTGGTATGGCTGGACCGCAGATAAGGCTGTCCACTGGATTGTGCCCATCATTGGCATCGCGCCGTTTGGCATTGGCATCGTCGGGGTCTTGATGCCTATACAGACGTACATAGTCGACGCTTATCCGCAGTATGCGGCCAGTGGGCTTGCCGGATTCTCTGTCCTGAGGAACACAATCGGTGCGTTTCTGCCGTTGGCCGGGCCGCAGTTGTATGAGAACCTGGGCGTAGGCTGGGGGAACTCGGTGCTGGGGTTTATTGCGATTGTGTTGATACCGATTCCAGTGTTGATCTATCGGTATGGGAAGTGGTTGAGGCTTCGGTTTGCCATCCAGCTATGATCCAACCTTCTATACTTATTCTATGACTTTGGCGTTCTAGGCTTGTAAAACGCAAAATGATTGCTTTCTAGCAATGAGAGGACTGATTGAAGATATTCCAATTAGACCGCGTACTGGTGATGTGAAGGCCATGACCCAAAATTCCTTACAGACTGAGACGGCTGTTACAGCGTTGCCCAGCCGCAAATCTTACCACACAGAGGGATGTCAAACAAGGGGCCGATTTGTGGGAAATGCAGGTGATAAATATAGGATGAAATAGGGGCACATAGATTGAACCATGAAGAACACGGGTTGGTTAGTGATCAGGTAACAGGGTATGTATGTATAAAGTCCGGCCGGCCGTAGCGGATGATCTCTCTGCACGAGATTACAGCAGCGGACCTCGGCTGGGGAAATTATGCTTAACCATGCCAAAACCTATCTGAAGGATGATGCCTCAGCTCCCGTCTTCGCAAGAGCTCTGGATACTATATCCCGGCTATGTCTATCTTCGGTTCTCGTGCGATATAGCCGTATCCACAGATGACATGCTTGGTAGTTCTTCAGTGTAATACAATACAGCCCTATTGCTAATGTGAGTGGCTACACATCTAGGTATTTTGTCAAGTCCAGCTTACGGACACGTACGTGTATGTGCAGATACTAAAGTCTTCTAGACTGCGCTTTGAAGCTCTCAAACGCTGGCTCATGGAAATGCTTGACTTTGCTGCCTGTTGCCTAATTGTATGATGGTCCGCGGACTCTACACGGAGTTGATAGGCCGATATACAGATTTTGATAGATTGTACAGTTTCAGCGTAGTTCGTACTGCTACCAAGTGTAGCCTTCACTTTACGTTGGCGAGTGTCGATTCGATTGTGGTCTTGTATCTCATTCGCCCTCTTGGCTTCGAAACCGCAGCTCAGTATGCTCAGCATGCTCAACAACAAATGGCGCAATAGTCACGCGGCTGACCGGGATTTCCGTCGGATAGGACGCCTTCCGATTCGCAGATACTTTCCTTGCTAGTGAACCGGTTCGCTCGATAATGCGTGAAACAGAGGCTATCACTGCAGCAGTCGTGGGTGGGCTGCTTACTCTGACAGGGGTCAGCGCAATGCAAAGACGTAGACACGGATATGCTAAGGAACCCATCGGCAGGCCATTGGACGGCCAACTCAATTTGCTCCATGTGCTGCTTGCAAGACGGATTGACGGAAAAGCCAGTTGCGTATAAATAGCAACCGAATGGTCAGAGGACTGGCAACTCGATCCTCCGCTAGGCTCTATATAGAATTGATGCCCCATACCATGCCGAGCAGGATTCCAGGTTGCGATGCCATGTAACGAAAGATAGAGAGAGAGAGAGAGAGAGAAGGAGAAAGAGTGGGAGAGAGAGGTCTGGAGGCTCTGCGAGCTAAAAGCTGTCAAAGCCGCTGTCGTCTGGGCAACATGTAATAACCAATTTGTAATTGCATCTACTTTTGTCGCAGGCATGCTCATTACGGCACGGCGTTTATCCTCTTCCCAAAGCCCTTGATCAGAGAACAAAATCCGACCCCTGCCAGAAGCTTCACTTATAAGTTTCGCAGCCATGTCGAGACTCGGGTTGCTCAATAGTCGAGAAGCCAGGTATGAAAATGCGCGCAAAATGTCCATCGACGGCATCCCCTGGCAGCCCGGCTTGTGGAAGCAAGCACCATGGAGAACCATCGCCTCGCTCGCCGCGTGGACGGTGACCTGCGGGATGATTGCGCTGGTCCTCGCCATGTCCGAGGACAAAGAGACGAATCACTGGCCGACGCACAACAAATACTTCACCGTCCCGGTACTCCTGTCTCTTATGGGCGCCGTTGCGGTGCTGTTCCTGTCCGTGGCCAATGCCGAGGGCTTTGCTATCTCGTGGTGGCTCAAGGCGCTCAAGGGCACCAAGATCAAGGAGCTACACTACGATCTCGAGATTACCAGCAACGTACTCATTGGCTTCTCCCGACCGAAGCTGTTCAACTGGGTGGCCATATCGGCTCTCATCTCGATAATAGTGGGCATCGCCGTCGGTGCTGTTTTGCAGAAGGCCTCGGAGACGGTCACCAAAACGATTGGGCCCTACACTGATATAGTCAACGTGCCCATCCTCAACACGACTCTGCCGTCCAACTTCAGCGGCTGGGCCGGCAGCGGCACTGAGACGTCGTTGCTGATGCCCACCTTTGCCGAAGTGTACCGGCAATACTCCAACCGCAGCGTCATCACGATGCCATCGAGCTGTGTCAACCAGACCTGCTGGCTTCGCATGCCTGGGCCCGGCTTCGATATCTCCTGTACGGATAGCGTTGTCGACTACGACTTTACAAAAATGGCGGCTGCCAGAGGCGACAAGATCACGACGTTCCGAACGAGTGTCGACTGGGAACCGTCGCAAGGCGTGGAGTTTCTCAACCACATGAATTTCTCGGTCCTATACAAGCCTACCAATGCATGCACTGGACAGATGATACAGCACAACTGCACGCTGCGCGCCGCTGCTGTCAACTATGACCTCACCATCACCAACGGCAGCATCACGCTGGATCCCTGTGACATGTCCACGAACACGACCATCAGTATCACCCAATTTGACGACTGGCAGCAGCTGGGTTCGGGCAGTGTCGGCGCAGGAGGATTCTTGACCATGTTCGGAGGAATCGCCTCCGTCCTGCAGGCGCAGTATAACTCGAATACGACACTCAGGATCGCCGTCATGACGAATACTCCCTACATTGTCTCTGCGACTGGACAGGCGGCGAGCACGTTTCTGACCTCGGATATTGGAGACTATGGCAACTGCTCCATGACGTGGTCTGACCCCCGAGAAGACATGATCAACAACGTCCGCGAGCTCATGTTCCGCAGCGCCCTCGCCGTTGCGAACCAGACTGGTGCCCCTCCGATTCGGTTCAAGCAGACAGATTCCCTTATCACGAGAGTCGGTATAGTGTATGCTGCCCATTGGAAGTTCTTTGCCATTGCAGTTGGATGCATGGCACTGCAGGTGCTGTTTATTCTCTGGCTCATATGGGGCTGGCAGAAGCTGGGCAGACATGTCTCGCTGGATCCGTTCGAGATTGCAAAGGCCATGGGAGCGCCGCTTCTGAATCAGGGATCCTCGAACAGTTCGGCGGACCAAATATTGGACCTCCTCGGTGGTAGAAGGGTCAAGTATGGGGAGTTGGTGGACGGAGAGCCAAAGATCTCGGGAGAGCCCATGTTCCCTCGGAATGGTTATAGCGAGGTCAATAGTAGCGATCCTGATGCTGCTGGGCCAGGATATCTGGCGGGCCAGGGTACGGATTTGAGCAGGGCATCCAGAAAGACGTTGGCCCTTGACGTGGTGGAGAGAGTCCAGGAAGTGAGGCCGGGTGTTCATTATTGAAGGCTCGTGGAGGCGTTTATAGCCTGCATGTAGCCTTCGCACGTTTGCTTGTTTAGTACCAATGGGAATCACCATACTGCGATACGTCCTACTACGTCCATTCCATAATCTTTGATTACTTAGAGCGTCATCTGGCTTTGATTACAGCCATGATGACCAATTGATTGTCTCGGAATTGCCGTACGTAGACGATTCATACACACCTGGGCTTCTTTGTCTCAAGTTAAGGTAGTCACCGATCTCCCCAACCTCACATTGTAATCATCATGGGCAGCCATACATGGACACAACTCGAGACTATCCTACAGCATCCACGCAATTCAAACCACTTACTCCGTTTGAAAGCGCCTCAAAAAAACACTTCTCCTTATCCTGAGTATAGTAGTCTGGTTTGCGAAGGGGTGGGGAGGGGGGAAGGGGGGGGAAAGGGGTGGGGGGGGGGGGGCGGATTTGTGCTTAGCATGAGCATCAATACTCTAGATCTTGGGTAAGAACACCGACGAGTCTTTTCAGAAAATTGATAATACAGATAAATCACTTCAAGCAATTTGACAACTCTAGTTCTGCTGGGATAATTTATGAATGAGAGCTGTATGAAGAGACTTTCAGTAGTATCGGATACACAAGGCCCCAATTACACAGAAAGCTATAATTTCCCCGGACACATCTCGTGCACCTCCTCCCAATGGCATAAGATTACAAAGACTGCTGATTGGCAGAAGCTGCCACAGGATGCTGAATGGCAAAGAAACGGGTGTTGGCTGAGCAAAAGCAAACACAAGCCTCATTGACGATATCCGGATTATGCGGAAAGGGCAGGCCCAAAAAAGTTTGATTTTAAGCGTCATATGACCGGAACCTTATTGGTTCAATGAAGATCTCGACAACTGTGTCTACAAGGCATGTTTGTGGTGGATTCCAGTTGCTTGTGTGTGTCCCGGGGGATGATGAAATCCATTGAGACCATCGTTGTAACTCCTGCCTTTTCTTCCGTATTTCATGTACAACTTGCAGGCAAGGCACCCACTCATTCCTCGTTACAGGAGTTGTTATATGGCCCAGAAGTGAGACGATTTACAGTGGAAACATATTCACGCTTTCGACCCTGCAGAAGGCTGCCAATGCTGGGTACTCACTTACACACTAGACACCCAGGCCACAAAGCTATCAGAAGGGTTTACTAGCTTTGAGTAATATTTCCCCTTACGGATGAGCCCAACAGGTTCGTTGGAGACTCTTCTATTTTAACTACAAGCCACTTCTGGCCAAACAGGGGAAGTGGCGCATCTTGCCCCAAACTTTATACCATCCAAATTCGTGCTCGGCATGAGCTTACCGTACAGTCGGTATGCATACTCTCTCTGTTGAGGAGGTAGGCTCGTCAGCTACCTACTGTACTTCGTGATCGAACTGGTTTTTTGAGCAGTTTTGATCCATCTCACAGGTATCTCGATGTGCTAGACTCTCAAGCAGGATGTATTCGCATTTTTCGTTCGAGTCAACTTGAGTTCATAGCTACAGGAGAGAATTTTGGACGACTGTCGGAACAAGGTGATCAAACCCCTTTCCTCAAACAACCCATGTAGCTCAACGCACTGCCACCACAAGCAGGGAGTCCAAAAGTATATCACAGCCTCATATTCGCCGCCATTTCCGGAGGAAGGATATCTGTAGCCGATCCTGCCCATAATAACCTAAATCGTTATCATCCCGGAGATATATGAAACGAATCTTGAGCCCATAGCTACCATTACACTTCTCTCCGACTTTGAGACGCGTTCATGAGAACGATGAGGGCGGTTCGTAGGAAAACAGAGGATTTCTTCAGTCCCTACTTCAAGGACAACATACATAGTGAAGTTCTGTGTGAACATAAGAGGAAGTAGACGCAGAAACATGTCGAGCATCTCCTCGTGGTATGAGCCTTATCACCTGCGAGATTAGGCCCGGAGACATAGCAAAGTATAATGCGTGCTCCTCAAAGGTTTTGTTATCAACGATGGAAGAAGGCGTCATCTTGACTCTATTAGTTAAACCTTGATCATCCATAGAGTAGATAGCAGGAGCAATCTGCGCTTTTACAGAGCAGGAGCCTGTGTATAAGAGCTGCTGTCGCCCCCCCGATTCATGCAACTCGTCTTCCCATCATCAGTATCATTCAGCCCATCTACCAACAATCTTTTCTCACTTTTCGAAACATCTTGGGCATCGATAAAAACCTTTATCACACACATTGTTGTCACGATACGTAAGTGTTTACCTCAGGAGCCTCATATTTGACCGACAGCAAACGCTAAAACATTCTTGCAGGACACTTGGACTGCAACACAGCACTCCAACCTTTCCTTTCCTTTTTTTTTTCTTTATATATATACACAACTTCATTCGGGCTCTACCATCCCGTAAGTATTGCAACATCTTCATTGAACCAGCAACTTCCCTTGTACTTACAATGCTATAGGAATCCACCTCAACATGGGACCCACAGACAAGGTGCTCATGTCCACCACCTCCTTCTCCCATCTGCCCTGCGAACTCAGGGAAATGGTCTGGGCGTCCTCTGCAAGGGACACACGGAGAGCCGCCCACTTCTTCACAGTTTCGGCACAACCCAGGATGACAGCCACCGGCCCTGGGTTCGAACTCGCGGCACCCACACCCCAAGACGGTTCAGCAACCGTCGAGGACTGGATTGTGGGCAATCAATCGGCGTATATCCAAGACGCCATGCTTTGGACAACCTGCGCGAGTTCCCGAATCTTTGTGTCCCGCCACTACCGCCGGCTTTGGCAAGCCATGGATCCCCGTCCGCAAACCGACCCCTTTGTTACCTGCGGTATCAACCGCAACGGGGAGGAATGGCGGTTCAAGGTCTTGCCGTCGCAGGACCTCTTCTGCATACGGCCACTTAGCACCGGCGCTTCGTGGCATGTATATTCTCGTTACATGCTCCCGGGGAGAAAGGATCGGGTCGACCTTGCCAACGTGGCCCTCGAGTTTGATCCTGCCTGGCTCGATTCCTCCGTGGTCAAAGCCGGCGAGGTGCCGTATGCGGCTGATAGTCCTCTCGGGTTCATCATCCGAACTCTCCGGGCGGTGGCAGAGGGTGCGATGGGCGCCGGCTTCAACTTCTGGCTCATCGACCGCACTATCCGGAAGAGAAAGCAGCCACTGGCAGAAAGTGACGACGAGGATGAAGAGAGGCCCGAGCCGACGGTATTTCATGGTCGCGACAAACGGTATATCCACATCCGAGAGGAAAGCGAGTGCACCTGGGACGCCTCGAAGCCAATCACAGCTTTCCGCTTTCTCGACTGGCTCCAGGTCGAAGTTGGACTCAACACTCGCTGGATGATGGCACACCGAACCGGAACACAACGGGCAAAGCCGCCGCTTCCATATCGCGACCTGAACGAACTGGTCATGGTGCTTTCTGAGGAGGATATATAAGATATATCATATCTTGTAAGCCAATTTTTGTCTTTGCTTTCCGTGTATTGCCTGTTACTAACTTGGTTTGAAGGTCATTTCTCACTCTTTCTTGTGTTGTCGAACTAGATTTCCGTGGTATTTGTTGGAGATTATCCTTCCTTAGGGATTGGTACTTTATTCTTTTTATTCACATTATCACCATGCTATTTATGAGGAAGACAGCAAACACGAAGATGATGATACCCAAGTTGCGTTACCGTTTACGATGCTACAATTTAGCTTGTAGTTAAAGATAGCAGCTGCATGGATGCTATTGAGATACCCCTTTGCGATTCTTGTCTTCGAAATCTAGAGCCCAATATCACATCAACTTTTGCCTGACTTTCTGCAAACCCTTGTCTGCGTGATTCCCGAACCAGTTGACCTACTCTGTCATTATTGATAAGTGATGAGCTCATGGCCTTCTCTGGTCGTAAGAAACCACTTGCGCACATCACATCTGGGCGTCGCAGATGCCTTGGCTTCTCTATATGTGGTTGCCATGTCGTTAGTGATCTCGAAAAGTCACATTTGGACTTCTGATCCTGGAACTTTCTGACCAATGGCATCAACCTCGCACATGTGATCAAGCCATTTCTTTTGACTTAAGCGCCAATATGCAAAGATCGGCAGCCGTATATATTAGCTGTGTCTTGGCCATTTGGAATCATTCCCTCTGCTACAATCCCCCTTTTTTCTGTCCTGTCACTGGAAACATTCCCCTCATGTGATATATCAGTCTTTTATGCTACTCTGATATATAACCAAAATCACCCTTTTAGGACAAAACTGCTTGCAAATATCGCTCAAGGGTTGCTTGCAAGCGGCCACAACCACTCTGTCTACCACTTGTCGAGTACAAAGCAATTGGCATTCAATTATTCACCCGGCGACCAAGTACAGAAACAAGCAATTCGGCGCGAAAGCTTCAATGGTGCCGGTACCAATCGTCGTGGTGTCTTTGCTTTCCCCAAAACGCTCCAATCGTATATCTCGTGCAACCCCTAGCATTACATCGTCTCCGGGTCTCGTCGCCTTGGCAAGCGGTTCGGTTATCGCCTTGCCTCGATGTACGAGTAGATGTTGAGTCGAATCAGTTGTCCGCGGTGTCGTTGGAGAGGAAACTGTATCGTTACCATATGGCATCAAACGGACTCCCTATTATATGCTGTATACGCCACCAACGCCTGTAGATGCCCGCCAAAGACACGCCTACATAGTACTACCAGAGTCTCAAACTCCGGAAAGTCTTATGTAAGGTGCATAAACCTGATCGTGCTAGTGCTCTGACATCTTTGCACTGATCACATCATAGTCGGGCCTTGGTGAGACTATCTCATACCGCTAGTCCACTCGCGCATCAACCCCCTTGTCGACGGCGTGTTACTGGGCCACAGCACTCGAATGGGAATCGTGCACGTTCCATTTCTCGCGGAGGAGCACCAGAGAGAAAATATTACATGCGAGTACAAGAGTATGTACTGTAGCAGTACGTGGTAATACGCACTTGGCGTCTTGCTGGTTAATCTGCAGCAAGGGCGTCTAAAAATAGGGTTGATGGCCGCTCCCAGGTGCCGGACTTTCTTGGCCTCATGTTTGTCACCCTTGTTGAGCGTCACATCACGACAAGTCACCAATGCGGAAACTGTGGGCGAAGGACATGTAATCGGCGGGTCCTTATTGGACCTGCGGCAGCTTGGTTCACCCGCCGGCGCGGGCAAACTTTCCGCATGATGGCAGATGAAATTATATTAACGATGCCTGGCACCGTAGCATTCAAGGCCAAGCATGCAGGGCGAGTCGGGGGATGGCCTGGGGGCGGACGAGAGCAGAGCAAGCAGGGGTCAGCTTTGGTCAGACACAGAGAGGCGGCAAGGCATCATCGTATGAGCTGTATGACCTTACACATCGAGTGTTTGCACCTGGACGCATCAGCTCGTGCAACTTGAGCAAAACTCGAGTCTTGAAGCTCTCCTCCTACGACTAGCAGAGAACAAGTATTGTATAGTGGAAGATGGTGGACTGCCAGCGAGTCCACTTGCCTCGTCTGGGTAGTCCTCCGCCCTTAGCCCTGGGCTGAGAGGCATTTGATTAGCTGACTGAAGCCTCCAGGACCCGGCAGTTTGCTGCTAGCATGAGATTTTCGGCACCTAGCGGAAGAGGCGGAGTGGCGGAGAAGAAGCATAAGGTAGGAGGGACGGGACTGACTCGACAATGCTAGTACTATGGAGTAGTATGGAGTAGTATGTAGTACCTGTGCAGATGGTGGTAGTATTCGAAGCCGATCAGAAGTCCCCAGAGCCTCGGACTTGTTCTTCTAAACCTGCGGCGCCGGTAGGATGGTTTAGGAAGGAGATTCCGGGCGAGATCGAGGGAACCTCTGCACGAGTTTGTCGACAGTTTGTGCGGCCCACAGGGATGGCACCAGACAAAACCGTGTGCTACCTGCAAGCTTACTTTTGCTGCCCGGGGGCGTGGAAGCTGGTGTCACATCGAGCTGCATGATGCCAGGCACGGCTACCTTAAGGCCGCATGGAGTCCGCTGCCATACGGAGCCCCCTGTCAGCTGTGCTTGTGCAAGGCCAGTCGGTATCGTTGTGTGCGAGCGAGCATGCACTGAGTACTCCGTATACACGGATATGTAGCGAGGGCAAGCCCAACCAGGGCAGACGAAGACAGGTCCAATGGAGAGGGCAAAAAAATTATATATGGACATGATCGGCAGCTCTTGATCGCAGCTGTTTTCCACCAGACCTACCACTCCTCTTGGCCGCTCTGCTCCTGTCGACCCGGTCCAGCTCTAGACGATGCCTCTCAAGAACCTCCTGGCCATTGCCGGCACGCTGCCGCTCGCCACGGCCATTGGCTGCCCTCACATCAACGGCAACGGCAATGCCAACGTCAATATCGCTCGAGCCCATCCCGAGTCCATCTTGGAGAAGAGGTTCAGCCCGGACGGCCCCGACTTCGGCACGTGCCCTCGCAAGAGCACCGTTGCTGGAGGAGGCACGCGCAGCAGGCAGTGGTGGCCCTGCGAACTGAACCTCGGGGTACTCCGCCAGTTTTCCGAGAAGTCGAATCCCTTGGGCTCCGACTTTGACTATGCCTCTGCCTTTGGCAAGATTGATGGTATGTTATGTTGAGCGACTTGTCAGTGGGATTATACAAGGCCAAGCGCTGATATCAAGGACAGTCGCCCAGCTCAAGAAGGACATCACCGCCGTCCAGACCACTTCCCAGGACTGGTGGCCTGCCGACTTTGGCGACTATGGCCCGTTCTTCATCCGTCTAGCATGGCACAACGCGGGTACCTACCGCGCCGTTGACGGACGCGGAGGAGCCGGTCAGGGCCAGCAGCGATTTGCTCCCCTCAACAGCTGGCCGGACAATGCCAACCTGGACAAGGCTCGTCGTCTGCTTTGTAAGTCAGATCCAGGGACTGCTGTCAGCCCAATCTGGGGCCATGTCTTGCTAATCAACCTATCATGGTAGGGCCCATCAAGCAAAAGTACGGCAGCGCCCTCTCGTGGGCCGACCTGTTCGTCTTTGCCGGCAACACTGCCATGGAGAACATGGGCTTCCCCACGTACGGCTTTGGCTTTGGTCGCGAGGATACCTGGCAGTCAGACGAGGGCATCTACTGGGGTGGCGAGCAGGAGATGTTCCCCGAGGCGCTCAACAACGTGGTCCGCTACAACGGAAGCACAGACTTCACTGAGCGAGCGGACAAACTCGAGAGCCCACTGGGAGCCGTCAGCATGGGTCTCATCTACGTCGATCCTCGCGGGCCCAATGGCCAGCCGGATACCCGTGCGAGTGCTTTGGACATTCGTGAGACATTTGGGCGCATGGGCATGAACGACGAGGAGACCGTCGCCCTCATCGCTGGTGGCCACGCCTTTGGCAAGACCCACGGCGCTGTGACGGGAGACAACATTGGTCCTGAGCCCAACGCTGCCGGCATTGAGCTGCAGGGTCTTGGCTGGAAGAACAGCTTTGGCAGTGGAAACGCCGACAACGCCTACACTTCGGGTCTTGAGGTCATCTGGTCCCGCACTCCCACCAAGTGGGCAAATGGTGAGTTACCCTCTTGTCCCTTTTGCTCTCTCTCGCATTCCTGTTGCTGACTATGTCTCGCAGAATTCCTCTTCTCCCTGCTCAACAACAACTTCACCCTCACCAAGTCCCCCGATGGTGCCCCTCAGTGGGAGGCTCTCGATGCCAACGCATCTTACCCCGACCCCTTCATCAAGGGCAAGTTCCGCCGGCCCACGATGCTGACCTCCGACTTGGGTCTCCGTGATGACCCCATCTACAACAACATCTCCAGGACGTTCCTCAACGACTTTGACTACTTTACCGAGAAGTTTGGCCTTGCCTGGTGTAAGTCAGCGTGCTACCCTACCTTATGATGTATGCCCCAGCTGACCCCTGATCCAGACAAGCTGCTGCACCGTGACATGGGTCCCATCGCCCGCTACCTCGGCCCCGAGGTCCCCAAGAAGGCACCCCTCATTTGGCAGGACCCTCTCCCGACGCCGGCTTACACCACTCTGGCTGCTTCGGACATTTCCTCGCTGAAGCAGCAGATTCTCGCCGCCCCCGGCCTCAACGTCTCCAACCTGGTCACCACTGCCTGGGGCTCTGCATCGACCTTCCGTATCTCTGACAAGCGCGGTGGTGCCAACGGAGCTCGCATTGCTCTCCAGCCCCAGGTCAACTTTGCTGCCAACAACCCTCCACGCCTGCAGGCTGTCCTCAAGGCCGTAAGTAACAGTACCACACCAGCTACATGTGCTTATGCTAACAACTACTTCTCCGGCTATAGCTCAAGGGTGTCCAGACCAAGTTCCAGTCCAGCGGCAAGAAGGTGTCTCTGGCTGATCTCATTGTCCTCGGCGGTGTCGCTGCCATTGAGAAGGCTGCCAAGGCCGCTGGGCTCACCCTCACCGTGCCCTTTACCCCTGGTCGTGTTGATGCCACCCAAGATCAGACCGATGCCTCCACCTTTGCGTTCCGTGCGTCCACCCCCCTACGCCCCGATGACCCTCGCAGTTGTGTCGCATTTGCTAACCTTTATATTCCTGCAGTCGAGCCCAAGGCTGACGGTTTCCGCAACTTCGGCCACGGCACAGCTTCGTCGCTGACTGAGGAGATCCTTGTGGACAAGGCTGCCCTCCTTACCCTGAGCCCCCCCGAACTGACGGTTCTCATTGGTGGCATGCGCGCCCTCTCTGCCAACTTTGACGGCTCCTCCACCGGCGTCCTGACTTCTCGCCCCGGCCAGCTCACCAACGACTTCTTCGTCAACCTGCTGGGCTCCTACTCGACCTGGTCCGTTGTCAACGGCACCAACGAGGAGCTGTTCCAGAGCAAGGACTCGAACGGCAAGGTCCAGTGGACCGCCTCCCGCTCTGATCTCATTTTTGGCTCCCACCCTGAGCTGCGTGCCCTTGCTGAGGTCTACGGCTCTTCTGACGCTAAGACCAAGTTTGCCAATGACTTTGTCGCCGCATGGGCAAAGGTCATGGACCTGGACCGCTATGATGTCAAGGGACATAAGGGTGCCTACTAAGGAGTTGGTTTCCTAGAGTTGCACTTTCAGAATATTGTATATACGATAGTCACGTTGTTTTAATGACTAGATTAGCAAGGCGCAGCTGCCATCATGATGAACAAATACATGTAACTTCAACAACTGATTTTGCTTCCTTCTCTTGTCTATCGCTTGGTGATGTTATACTCACCGCCGGATGAATGTCTGTCTCTCTCGATCTTTCGCTCTTCAGTCCTTCCATGGCGATTGAGTAACACGACACAATGTGTCACAACGATCTCGTGGTCCAGTTGGTCCTACCAAGTACGAGTCGTGTTCCACCATGGAGTATTCCATCCGCTCGCCACGACCGTTTAAAAGAGCGTGTGCGATACAATGTGCAACACCTAGCACGATATAAGTTTGCTCATTGTGCCAAGCATCCTCATAATGGCCATGGATAGCGATTTGCATCTACCCTACTTGTGACGCTACATACGGTAGCGAACTCGCACAGCACATACATGCCCGGCAGCACAACAGCTAGCACTACAAAGTACAACAACTATCCTCGGTCCGGCAGCACAACGAAATACGTGTTTGTCTTGTCCGCAAGGAGGGGGAAATACTCCGCGTAACGCGGCGTTGGGGATGGTTTTGTGTTTGCAACCCCCCCTCGTGCGGTTGAGCGGCCGCAGGGATGGGCGATTTCGGCCTTTTTCTTCTGCTGACGAGGTGTGATCTTAAAAGGAAGAGTTGCTCAAAGGCGGTATATCCCTGTTCCCATGCATCGGACAAGAGTCCGCCTTTGTGTAGCAATACTGATGCAACATCGGACTATCTATATGAAGACCCTGACGCAATTGGTGTCACGTTCCATTAGGGTTCCATATGGAATAGAACGTTTTCAGTAGATTGGCAATGGAACAGTAACAGCTGCATCGAATTCGAATACTGTAATAGTGATTGATGGAGGTTTTTCCGAGACAATATATATTGCTAATTTGGCCCTTTCATCGCATGTTCTAGCTGCATCTCTGGTGTCCCAAGTCTCATTTGGTAAGGACACCACCAGGTTAATTATGTATAATTGCTTTCTATAGATCGTATGCAATTGGCTTTGTAGGCCTCGTTCATTCCAATTCAACCTCGTCCCGCACAAGTCAGACTCGGACCGTTCCCGAGACGTCAAAACGGCCAACAGGAGGGGGGGCAGCATGTAAGCGCGGATTATCAGTAAGATATCCTATTTCAGAACTTCTGACCTTTGAACCAGGTTACCACATGGCAACCCAGCCAATTCAGTCATTGCGGCCTAAACTTTGGAATTCTTGGTATACCATCTTGCAGTTTCTCGATTCGATCTGGATTGTAAGCTATTGTAGGGGACGGTCGGCCAGATGATGCTCCGCTGAGCATTGTGCTGGACGACGTTTCTCTATGTTGGGCATGCACGAGACAGGGACTAATTTCTGACATAACCAGCGATCGCATATTGTTTCCGTTGGACTTTTGCTGTTACGTTGATTTGAATAGTCTGGGGGTCTGGGATAGATGCGTGGACTAGCTTGAATAAGGAGGAGGTGAAGCATTCCAAATGGTTGAAGCTATCACGGGGTTGGTATACGGATAGTTTGTTTTGTCCGCTGCATGGGAATGCTCTTCAGGCCCGATTGGCGGGTTGACTTCTACATCAGGTGCATATATAGCGAATTGATAGGCGCCCGGAGGTATACGGTCAATGAAGGATATGCCCTCTTGAGACAAGGTTGGTTTATGCCATCCGATGACCAAGAATGAATATAGTTATCATCAATCATCATATAGTCCCTACCGGGTATGGAGCAATGTATCTATGCTAATCGATGATCTGGGGTACAGGCTTGCTAGCAGCCGTGGCTTATGTTCCGCTACATTCAGGAATAAACTCTGACGTGGTTGTGTCGGAGCAACTTGCAAGATGTGAATAGGCCATGAAGCCGGCAAGCTACTGTAGAAGTAGCGGCATGGACGAATAATGACACGCCATTTTTCGGGAGGGCGATCGGGACTCGAATACAATAGGCGTGATTGTCATTGGTCAAATGCTCAGGAAATTATCCGGCATAATAATGAAGGGCTGATTATGCAAAAATGTTAAGAGCAGTATATAGGATGAACCATTTATAGAGTTGGATTGTCAATGGGTATTATTACCAGACATGCCAATAAGTGTTATAGGGTATCAGTGTGCTCAATGTGAAGTCGGGATTGCAGATATTTTGGCTAGATCTCCTGGAGAGATGAGTCTTTTCTTCTAGCAGATATAGGTGGTTGCGTAAACTCATAGAGTAGAGCGAGGAAATACAGGGCAGTGAATGACTTCTCATGGTACCAGGGCCTGTGGATAGGTGACTTGGAGTTGTTCCACTCTTGCAGACAAATGGGCTCCTAGTGAAGGTGCGCTTGCTTCGTGATTAGAAAGATGACTCCATACAATGAACACATCCTCCTTCGTACTTGTCATGGTATCTTGTTCTTTTTAGTCCACTGAAATTATTGGCGAAAAGTCTTTCAAGGGCTTGATTCAGACACAGATGTCATATGATCTTCACCAAGGTCAAATCGCTCATCCGTCCCTTGAAGACGGTGAACCAATAATCCTTCGCCTCAAGACGAACATTAGGAGGCTTCGACAACTGAACAAGCCCTAATCGATGCCAAATGACACAGCCGTCTTCTTCGTCATAGCCACTCTTCCGTAGTAGAAGCATGATCAAAGACCCCGAGTCAATTCTCGTCGCAAGCATGAAGCATTGTATGACACTTCCAGCAGGGATGTGATCCGTGCCCGGTAAGGATGAGTCGTAGTCTGCCCACACACTGCCCACTTGCCTTTCCATGATGTCGAGCTCAAAGAGTTCGAAAGGCTTCCTCAGATTCTGGCCGAGAGAAGATCTGTAGTTGATCGATGTAGAGATCAAGTGACCGCGTAGTGAGAGGTTGCCACCACTGAGCTCACCAGTTCGATCCGTCTGATACGGGAAGCACTTTGCATCCTCAATTTTGCACAGAGTAACAAGGCCAGTTCCCATATCAAGAAACTTGATCGGGCCCAACACTGCTGCCCACGACCACGTGGGAGCTCTCCATACCTGCGGACGTCGAGACCACTCATTTTCCGTTGCCAACTCATCAGACAAGGTCTCTTTATGCCACGCTAGGTCATATGGTAAAGATTTTGTCCACATTCCAGCGACATACTCGGAACTTGCAGAGCGTTGGAAGATCTTCGCTATGCCTGAGATTGCTGGAAAGATGTCGCTCTCGAAGGTCAGGTGGAGTTTCGTATACTCTTCCACAAGCATGTGCCAGACCTTGATCAACTGGGCCTCCTTCAACTGCCGCCAGTGGCCGTGATTGAAGACAGCCTTTGGCTCCAAGACTCGCCGTGCAGATAGTGTATAAGTGCCCACAGTCCCACCACCGGTGTCAACGATGGTTGAAGGTGTACACTGGCAAGTGGATGTCCGTAGACACTCCCATGAAAGCTCCTGTGGCCCGAAGTGAAGAACCCTTGATGACAAAAAGCGTTCTTGGAAGATCCACCCGCGATTAAAGGTCGGCAGTGAGGATGACTTGACAAGCCTGTGGTCCATATATCCAGGTGAGTGGGTGAATGATCTGCGAAAGCATAGAGCAGCTCCTTGGCCCAAAGATGGAAGAGCTATTGTGCTCGGCTCTAGCTGGTCGTTGATCCCACCAAATAGACTCTCTTCGGAGCTGGATGCCTTCGATGCGGATATCACAATGTATGCCTTTTGGTAGACTGAGCCCATCTTCGCCGCCTCCTGTCTCCAGTCGTCCTTGTCATCTTGAATGATGCAAAGGCTATCGATCCAGAGCAGAGTGATGCCCAACCTCCTCACAATTGTAATCGTGTCTTGAAAGAGGCGAGGGAGGACATTCCAGCAAATTCCGTGCCTGTGTATGTCAAGATTGGCAGTTGTTGTGCTCAAGGGCCGTGACGCACCCCAGCAGTGGCTTAGACATGCGTATTTCGCAATCTCGCCATCTTCGACGTCAGACTCTCTCAATCGGATGTCAGAAGAGCCAATATCAAGGATATGCCGCGGTAAGGGCCCTGATGATCCGGAAGTCCTTCTGTGGCATGTATGGTTGTTGTCACATTGCCTCAGTTTCTCTACCACCCATTCGAGGCTAGCATCAGAGCATGTTGATTGAGGGAGATCTACTACTCCGATTGGCACGTTTGGAAATAAGCGGTCAAATTCAGGGGTTTCTGGCCGAGCGAGTAAGTTAGTATCAGCGCCTCCGCACATGTATGGCAACTATGATACCTCGAGTTTAAGTGGCTTAGACGACGCCGTATGCACTCCATGCTCTACAGGGATGGAAACCTCACTGTGTGTTGGCTGAGCGAAAACGGAAATCTCCAGCTGGCGGTCGAAGAGAGTCAGGCTGAGGCTCTGGCCAGAAGCAGCCATGTTAATGTCCATGCGCAACCTCTCGATAGAGTCCAGGGGCTGGACATCCTGAGAGGCACTACTGGCGACAACACTTTGGATGCCGGCACTCAAGACTGAGCATGAAAGGCAGCCCGACGCTGTCCCCTGTGACAGGGCATCAAGGCTTGTAATGGCTGCGGTTGGTCCGCTATTTGCTCGTGGCGGGTGGTGGCACAAGGAACAAGGCCGGCTTTCGGGAGCGGACTTGGGACCAGACAGCGACATAATGGCTGCAGTTTCTAGCCTGATGTCATTGCGTATCCGCAAGGTAGTTCTAGAGATAAAGGGGACGGCAGGAACGGTGGGCTAAGAGCCCCTTTTAGAGAGGTCGGTCACATGACCACGAGGAAGGTTAATAAAAAGCCATATAGAGGCCATAGGGATCTAGTCTCTTACTTTTACACACACACACTCACTAGCTAGTTAATTAATTAATTTTATTATATTAAGACCTCTTTTATATTAAAGACCCCTGCATCTCCTTTATAATAATTAAGACAGGGGGTTATTAATATTCTATTATATTTAAAATAGTTTATTTATAATACACTTATATTTTACAGGTAGTAAAAAGTATAGCTATATAGCTAGTTAAAGCTAAATATTACTTATATCCTTTTAATATATTAGCCTATATAACTTATTAAATCTACTTATTATCTTATTCTCTTTAAGACTTATTTATTTTATTAAAACTTATAAAAGTAATACTTTTAGTATAAAAGCTATATTATATATATTATTATAAAAAGACCTTTTTAAATTACTATTAAAATTATAAGGTCTTAAAAGTCTAACTAAGCTAGGTTAATTATAGTAATTACCCCTATCCCTTAAACTAGGCTTAAGAAGCTAGGCCCTTATATATTAAAAAATAAAATTATAAATTACTATAGCTTTAAACCTAGCAGCTAGATTTATATTTACCTTTATTATAAATATAAACTTACTAAAAGAAATTATATAGTTATTATAAAACTAGTTAAAAATTAAAAATTCTAGTTCTTTTACTTACTTTTTTATAAATTAAGATCTAGAACCTAATTTTAATATATAGTTTAATATATAAGACCTTTTAGACCTATTAAAGCCTAAGATAGAATACTACTTAAAGCTAAAAGAGGAAGATAATTAGAATAATATAAGTAATATAAAAAATACTATAAGGTATATATATACTATAGCAGTAACCCTATTTAATAAATCTTACCCTATCTTTTACTAGCTAAATTACTTAAAAGCATCCTTAAATAATAAAAATCCTATCCCTTCTAGTTATATAATTAAATATATTAATATAAACCTTATTAGCCTAGTAGCTAAATTTATAAATTTTATTAATTTTTTATAAGAAATTAATAATAAGGCCTTAAATAAAACAGCTATTATAAAAAACCTAGATATATTTTATAATATATTAAAAAACTAATTTCCTACCTTTATATATATACTTAACTTTAATATAAAATCTAATAGTTTATTAAAATAAAAGCTAAATAAGTTTTTAAAAGTGTATTTAATTAAGGCTTATATAGCTTTTTATAAGGCTAAAGGTAAGAATTATCCTTTAACAGGCCCTTTATTAACTTAGGTAAAAGACTATTACTTAAAGGACTTTATTAAATAAATAGTTATAGGCCTAAAAGATAAAACCTTATAAAAAAAAGCAGTTAACTAATTAGCTATATTTACTAAAAGTATAAAAGCTTTTACTATAATAATTAATATTACTAAAGCTATTATTTATATAAAAGAAGACTTAAAAAAAGCTTAATTTAAAAAGGCTTATATAAAAGCCTATAAGTATATTATTTAAAAGAGGTTTAAAAAAGACCTTAATTATATCTTAATAAAGGAATTTAGCTTTAATTTAGCAGTGCTATTTACTATCCTTTAAGAAGTAGCAAGCTATTTTATAAGTTTTATTTTAGGCTTTTTAATCTTACCTTACTATAGCTTTTAGTAGACTTTATAATAGCTAATATAAAATCTAATATAACCCTTAACTTTAATATTAAAATTACTACTGCCTTTATTACTAATACTTACTAAATATTATAGCTAAAGTAATAGTTAGTATTATAGCAGTTAGTTATATAAGTAACCTAGTCCTGCTTTAATAAACTAGCCTAAGGCCTTATATATAAAGCCTCTTATATACTTTAAGAAGATGCCTTAAGCTAGGGGAAGTTTTAAATATATATACCTTAAGTTATCTTTTAAATAAAATATATTATAAGACCTTTTACTTTATATAAATTTTAAAAATATATATATTAATAAATAGCTTTTTATATTACTAAGCAAGCTAGTTTATTTTATATATAAATAAATAAAATATTATTTTAACTACTGCTTTACCCCTTTTAATTAATAATTATAAGTATAAAAAAAGGCATACTTTAAATTTATAACTTATTATAATTTTAAAAAGTCTACACTTAGCTTAAAAAGAACTACTATTAATATATATACTGCTTTTATATATTTTAAGAAATATAATAAAATAAATACTTTAATTATTAAAAACTAAGGTTAAATCTAGTAGAAGCCTGCTATAAGCCTAACTATAGCCTTTTAATTAATTATATTATACTGCTTATAAAAATTTAAAAAGATATTAGTAAATATATATTTAGCTTAAATAAGTATAAAAAAGGAGGCTATCTTATTACTAAAAGCTATAGCCTAGTATTTATAAAAAATTTTAAAAAAGGATGCTATAATAAACCTTTTAAAAATATTAAAAATAGCTATATTAACTACTAAAATAAAGCCAGCCCTTAAAAAAAGAAAGGCATAAAAAGGACTAGTTATTATAAAAGATAATATAAATAAATATAATACTAAGTCTTAAACCTTTAACTACTAGCCCTTATTAAATAAACCTAAAAAAAGCACTAGACTAGCTTAAATTATAAAAAGAGATAAAAAAGGTAACTTTAATTTTAAAAAACTAGTATTTAAATTTAAGGCAGAATTAACTTTATTAAAGCTATAGCAGCTTAGTTTTAAAAGCACCTGCTAATTTAATAAGCTATTTAGGCATAAGTCTTTAAAAAAGACTTAAAAAGGAAAAGGAAAGATAATAGTAAAAGCTTAGTTAATAATACTTAGCCTTAATATATATAATACTATACTATTAAGAAAAAAGGATTTTATACTAAAGTTATTTTAAGTAAATATTATATTTTAATTAATTTTTTATAAAGTTAAGTATTAATTACTAAAAGACCTAGTATAAGCAGATTAAGGTTTAAAAGCTAGCTTTATTTTTAAAGACTTTATAACTTATAATAAAATACTTATAATTAATTTATTTTTAATAAGATTTACTAAATTAATTATATTTAATACTAATAAATATTATATTATTATAAATAAGTTTATAATACTAAATTTATAATATAAAAATATTTAAAAAAAGGTATAGGCTATAGTTAAGCCTTTATTAAATAGTAAACTAGAGGATATTTTATTATTATTAAAAATACTATAGCTTTATAATATAAAAGCTATATTTAATATTAAAAAAGGCACTTTATAAATTAATATATAAGCTAATAAAAAAGAATAAAAAACTATATAAAAACCTATCTTATTATTATTAAATAAATAAAAGATTATACTTATATTTAGTACTTTTAAAGCAGCTAGATATTATATAAAAATAAATAAGAAATTTAAAAAAAAATTTAATTTTTCTTCCTTTATAAACTTAAAGGAATTAAAAAATAATAATAATAAGTAAAGAAACTAAGTTACTTACTTTAACCTTAGTATATTAATAAAAGGCCTAATAAAAGCTAAAAGGAAGAGATAAAAATAACTTTTAATACCCCTTTTTTTTATATATTAATAAACCTAGGATTAGTATTTATTAAATATATACTTAAACTAACTGCTAATAAAAAGACTTATAAAAAATTTAAATAAGTATAAATAGTTTATTTATATTATACCTTATATAAATTAAAAATATTAAAAAATACTAAACTAAACTTTAACTTATTTTTATTAAATATTAAGAAAAAAGACCTAAACCTAAAACCTTATAAATTACTAAAATTAAATATAAAAAACTAGCCTAGTTTTATAAATTTTAAGGGGTTTTATAAAGTTCCTTTTTCTATACCTTAATAAGTATTAAAAAAAATAACTAACTTTAATATAAATTAAAAAATTATAAACTAATAGTTTAAATAGTTTAAAATAAAAATAAATTTTAAAATACCTAATAGTATAAAGAAAAAGATAGTATAAATATTTTAAATATATTAAAACTTAAAAAAAAAAACTATTATTAATATCCCTTTTATAAATTTATTTATTTATAAGCCTAGACTTAAGAAAAGAGTTAAGCTATAATAAGGTTTATTAAGAAAATAGTAAAGTAAGCCTAAAAGATATTAATTAAATTACCTTATTTAAAAAGGAATTAAAAGTAAATAATTTAAATATATATATATAGCTAATAATAAGTTATTTTTATAAAGTATAAAACTTATATTAATTATAAAAGTAAAGTATAAAAATAACTTATAAGCTAAAAAAAGACTAATAATTAATTACTTTTATATAATAAAGGATTTATTAATAATATATATTTCTTTATTAACTAACCTATATAATAAGCTAGTAAATTTAAAAGTAAGATTATATTATAAGTTTAACTTTAAATATACCTACTAGTTTATTTTAATAAATAAAACCTTTAAATATATATTAGCCTTTAATACTTTAGGCTTTTTATAGCTTTAATTAACTTATATATTATAAGGTATATAAATAACTGCATTTTTATAAATTAAAGGTATTAAACTTAAGCTAAAAGCTATCCTTATACTATACCTTAAGCTATTACTTTTATATATTAAAAAGGGAAATGCGATAGGGACTGTTTATATTATGATAAGTAAACGAAATAGTATATTAAATATTTTTAAAATAATATTTATAATTATTATAAGTCTTCGTGCGCGTCTGCTTCGCCCGCGT